CGTTACACGAATTGGTATACCGCTTGAATCGCCTAAGCATTTACTGCTTTACATTATCACATCTTTAAAGTTTTGGAAGGAGAACTTATGACTGCAGAAAACTGCTTGATGTTTTGACTCAGTAATTTTAAAATACGGTTTTACGTAATTTTGTAAGCTGCATTACAAGAAGTATTGTTTTTATAAATACATACACATGCATGTATCTGCTACCTTGTTACTAAAATTTTGTATGATTTGCAGACAAGAACCTAGTCGTTCGTGACATTTATTTCAACTAGCTAAGTATGTACGAATGTAATAATTAATTCAAAAGGGACTCAGTAGAATTTATTGAAAATATCACATATATACATTTAAGCTGATCAAATTCTTCAATGTAAATTCACTCTTAGAAATTTGGACTTGAGTAGTCTTCATTTGGGCTCCTACCGCGTTGCACATATGTATCAAAGTAGACTTGGAAAATCCGGTTAAAAAAATATCGAAGTGTGATACAGAACTTCCAAATTAATTTGGAATAAAATAAAATAAGTTTTTAAGAGTGTACCTATTATGTATACATATTACATTTCGGTTAATCCATTAGCGGGTCACTATCAATTTACCTTGCTAAACATGCAGACATATGTATGTTTTATGGTGTGTTTTGATAAATTTAAGGTTCTCACCTTAGCTGTTTACTCACGTATGTATGTTTGCAATGCGTACAGGATACACATAAATATGTAAACTATAGGTGGATATCGATTTACATATAATTACATCTTAAAGATTGCATGTCTGATGTTGGACAATGTAATGTATACCCTTACTATTTTCTTGAATACTTTTTATCCATGTTTTGCAGCCCCGCTCACCCTCAAGGTATAGAACACTGCTTGTACATATACATATGTATGTGTGCACACTTCCCCACAAGCACTTTTAGACTATGACTATGGTCGATGTATTATACGTAAGTAGTAAAGTAAGTAAGTAAATTTGGGTTATTACGTACCCAAATTTGCATTTCGTGTCAGCCTAGTTTGGATAATGCTTATTTTAAGATTTTAGAATACTCATTAGAATGGTCCATGAGTGTCCTCAGTTTGACCAAAATATAACTAGAATCAAATACAGGATGTAGAAATTTCGGAGGAATTATAGGGTGATATTGATGCGCAAAGACTTTACGTCCACAGCGTAAAATCCTAGCTGTGAAACCCCCAACACGTCACTAGCGAAAGACTTTGGTGAAAAGAGGTTAAAGCAATTACTTGAGGCCAAACTGTTTCTCTGCTTAACAATAATATCCCGAGTATCTTCACAAAACAAACAATCCCATAATTAACTAAATATGATAACGGCAAGCCTGAAACTAGAAATTTCATGAAATAAAAGAAATACTCATACTAACAACAACTTAAGTTTTAATGCAAAGTTTTTATTTAGGTTTTTCCTTAGCCATACATATTAAACTGAAATTGATCCAACTGTTGACAAAATCCTGAAAGAGGCTAGCATTCTTTACTACAAGGCCCACTTTCCCAATTCTTCATTGAAGTACATAATTTGAGAATTTGAAAATTTGGCTTTGTAGTAAAATTGTCCTCTTGACTCGGCAACGATTTGTTTCAATCCTCGCTGACCAGTAGCAACGGTGTCTGGTATTTTGTCCATAACCGTTCGCAATTAAGTTACGAAGGTTCACATAAATAAAGTTGTCTTTATTAATATCTTATTTTTTTATATTTATATACACAAAAATTACATCTTATACCACTAAAGGTTACTAAAATTATATAAGAAGTAAATTAACCGTATAATTTATAACGTTTTCAAAATATTGCACCTTAGTTTCTCGATTAAGACAAAAAACATTATTCCCATTCACACCCGCATACAATCTTAATGCCCATACAGATCCTATTTTTCTCTTATAATATTTAACATCCCGGTCAAGTGATGCTCTTAATATTCTTCCAAATTCCATTGAATTTTCATAAATTTCATGCGTGAAAGGTAACGTTAGATTAACAATTATCGCCACTAAGCCGGCCAATGAAGGGAAAAAGAAAAATACTGAGAATGGCAATAATCCAAAGAATCGCAATGTTACAAAATTAGCGCAAACAAAGATAACCAATCCCAGCAACATTAGTGATAAAGTTCCCAATTCTTGAAACAACGCAAATTTTTTTACCGCAAGTTGTAAACTTGTGTGGGTATGAAGTAAATACTCGATTTTACGGCTAGTTTGGAAATTGAGATTTTTCAAACTTACCGCCTCCTTGATAAAAATCATAAAAATATTCTTGCCCATTAGTAACAAAGAGATAAAGGATAGCACAACGAAAAGAAAAGTTGAGCAGATTTGGATTGAATTGCATGACATTATGTAAAATCGCATGATATGGAGAAGAATAAGGAGAGGTGTGGGAAGTTTGTAGGAAGTGGAGATATCCTGCACAACCGTGGAGACACCGTCCAAGCTTAGCGCCATGTCTGATATAATCAGCAAAACTGGGTAAATTGATAACATGATCACAATTGTAAGTAGAAAAAGTTTCTGGCCGTTGAAACTCTTAGCTGATTTAGATAGGGCTTGCTTTAAGGGATATTTCTTTGGTTTTGTAGACACTGAAAGACAAAGCAAGTATTAATTTATCATCCAACTGAGACGATGATTTTGTCCAGACCGTGTACGTATTTCACAAGAGAATTGTGAATGGTGCTTATCTCAGATATTTCAATTTTACCAGATTGCACTGGGTGTGAGACACTACTGCTTGAATAATATTTTGTTTTTACATAGCGTAGAATCTAATTGCCCCCAAACATATGCAAAATATTTAAATATAAAACTTATTTACCCATGGAGGATGTAAGAATGGCTTCAACTGCCCGAACTCCGTTCCACCCGTGGACAGCTTCCCTCCCATATAGAATTATCATGATATGCATCACAGATCCGATCCAGTTTAAGATAGCACGAATCAGGAGGATCACCACGTTCATGAATTCCCTCTTTGGCCCATATCCGTACAGTTGTTGTACAACGAAGTACACGATGCTGGATGTGTATGCGATGTGCACTCCGAGAATGTAGTTGAAATGCCAGAGGAGGATGGATTTTTGTTTGACACTTTTGGAATATGTTTCCCATTGCAGCTGTTTTCCTTTTGGGTCCCATGTCATAGGAGAAGTGGAAGGGGTATATGAGGATATTTTGGAATATCTGGTAAATGCAGACGTTATATTTTCCCAGGACATGGTTTAGGTTTCAGTTCTAAAAAATGCTGTTTTTGATTATTAGTGGAGGTAAGGCTTATGTTGGAAACTAGTCACCAAGCGACTATGCCATAGGACCTGAGCAGGCTATGAGTGAAGAAGTTCAATTATACAAAAAAAGCTTTCTTAAATTCAGATTAAGGACTGTATAAATATTTTATCCAATAATGTTTACGATATAACTACTAAGCAAGGCAGGGTATGAAAAAGAATAAGGGTAGAACTCAAGAAATATCGGCAATTTATAAAACCTATAAACTTAATTAGTTTGTTTGTCGTCCAGCTTAAGTATTTCTTATTGCTTGAGTAATTCATGATATGAACTTTAGAACTATAAAACAATATTGATTTTAAATTATTCCTTAGCCAGTATTTATAACTATTTATTAGAATACTGTATTATATAAGTGCTATTATTTATCCCCAAGTTTGAAAGAACATATTTATGACAAAAACAGTTTTTCTAATTTTGGGTCAAAATTTGAATTAATTGACAATGAAGATTAGACCGCAATAGTATATTGTGTTTGACTGTTTTTTAGCCCAACCCAGGTCTGATGTAACTCAGGAAGTATATTTACATATATGTAAATTTATGTATATACATGTATATAAATTTTACTGATTGGAGAACTACTTAATTCTATTATTATTAGACAATTGTAGTTCAATCAATGTTTATTTAATTAAAGCCAGACATAGTGTTTGGATTATCTATTTCGTTATGTTGCATAACTTTAAATGTCAGTTTATTAACGCAACACCTACAGTAAGTCCTGCATAATTTACAGATAGCAATATTCAGTTTTTGGTAAACTACTTTTTTAACATTTTTAAATTTTCTTGGTACAGATATTTATATACGGTAGTCTACATGCAATTCAAGAAGATACCAGACAACTTTTTTCTTAATAAATTTATCATAAATAAATAAATCATATTTTTCATCCTGACATCAATCCGATAACGAATTTCGACCAGAAATACCATTCCTGCCCCCAATATTATACCCCCGCATAAAATGAACACCGTCACAATTGCTCCTTCTAATTCTAATGGCTGGAAAAGTGAACTTTCTACACGCTTCACCGGTTTACGATGCAAGTAATATTTCAAGCGGATTTCTTCTTCCTTTAACCTCCCATATATCCCAGATTCAAACATATCGTTGAAATATTTTGGCACATTTGATAAAACTATTTCAGTAATGTACCAACCAAACGGAATATAATCTAGGGTTTGCTTCCCCTTGTAATTTTTTTTAGTAGAATAATGCCTATCCAAGAACTGATGTTCTGTTCAGGGGAACACTGAATGTTCCCCTGAACAGTAAACCATTTCGCTAATTAAACCATGGACATCACCTATAAATAATTTAAAGCGTTAGACATCGCGTGTCTAATATTGAAAAACACAGAACCGAATAAAATGTAATGTTTTCTCCTTTAAGGTACCAGACCAACGATATTCCCTAGATACTATGGGGTTTTTCGAACCCAATTTTCTGAGTTTATGTTAATGCTACATATTTTTCGTAGTGTAAAACTTGCCGAAAATTTATAACAGAATATTATAAAAGTTAAGCTGGAGGTGACAAAAATTCCGATCTCTGTACAACACGATTTTAACAAAACTCCGTTTTGTTTCATTCAAAAAACGATAGTATTTTAACCTTTGATGCTACGACGGTCATCAAGGTCTCAAAATGTAGCTTATTATATTGTGGAGGTGTCGCGCTGGGTCTCCAGCTTCCATTATGAGTACAAAAATAAATTATTGGCAAATAATCCATAATAACAGTAAAATAAGTTGGGTTTATATTTTTTATTTTAACATAATGTAAGTTATGTGCAGTTAGACCCAGCGCGACACCTCCACAATATAATAAGCTACATTTTGAGACCTTGATGACCGTCGTAGCATCATAGGTTAAAATGCTATGGTTTTTTGAATGATACAAAACGGAGTTTTGTTAAAATCGTGTTGTACAGAGATCGGAATTTTTGTCACCTCCAGCTTAACTTTTATAAAATTCTGTTATAAATTTTCGGCAAGTTTTACACTACGAAAAATATGTAGCATTAACCCAAACTCAGAAAATTGGGTTCGAAAAACCCCATAGTATCTAGGGAATATCGTTGGTCTGGTACCTTAAGCTTTATTAGATACTGTATCATACAGTAATGAATTTTTCCTGCCTACACATATTGTACTGGCAAATATATACAATCTTGAAAATATGGCATGCGAATATTCACACGCCCACAAGTACATAATATGTACTTATTTATTGAAAACTGCTCTCCCAAATATCTATCGGTAGATATAGGTACTCCAGAGGTACATACATATTTATGTTGGGAGATCTATTTGACATCAAATTTGTAAGCTTGCATATATATTTATATACATAACCTAAAGAAATGAATTACGAAACAGTAGAAAAATTTGCTCAATATTTCTTCAAATACGTGACATTCGCGTACGACTCCCCATACAAACTTTCTTCCATTCTGCTACGATAACTCGGAGGCGGCTTCGGAGCACTTCCAGAGGGGTAACTTGAGCTCGCATAAATTCTCCCGTCTCTCATCATGAGATTGTCTGGAATCTGCAAACAGTATTTAGTTTTCAAATACATATCTTCCGTATTTCGTCTAATATATTAGAAAAATATGCAAAAATTTAACACTCACCAAACGCTGCAAGTTTCTTACAACCAATACCAGCAAGACGATCATGGCTACAAAAACAATCAAACATACCACCAACAAGATACAAAGTACTAGCGAAATCTGTGTAAAATACGAGTCGTCAAAGCGAATTATTTCTTGTGAAACATTCGAAATTAAGATTTGTGGGCATTGGGTTCGCTCCGTAATATTGGCAGTCGATACGTTTTTGGAGTCTCGTAATACTGGTGGTTGAGCATTAACTATTTCCTCCGGGAAGATTTGGACGTTTCCTTGTGACGCATTACGAACATAGACCGGTTGTCGCTTTACTGGCCGCACAGTCGGACGAGTCACTATAATCTGTTGTCTTGCAATGCCATACTGGTTTTCCGCGGTACACACAAAAATCCACGGGCCCCCATAAACCGAACTGTTGTCCGAGATTTCCAACCTGTGTTCCCATTGGTATCGGTAGAGCTGCCCGGTCTCCGAGTTAGGCAAGGGCTCCTTATACATTTCTATTCCAGGTTGGCTAAACAAATGATATTCACAAATCTTTAAAGGTGAAATGAAAATTGTCTTGTGTAAAATTTGGATATATAAATCAAGGGATTTATATTAATAAATATTGAGAATCTCAGAATTAAATAGGATAAAAAAATACTCCGCTCTACTCAACCTGTAGGACACGTGACTGAGCTGTGGACAAAGTGCCGTAATGATTTACTTGTATACGTAGAAATGTGATTAGTAAATAAGTTCGTGATTATTATTTTGCCTTGTAATTAAAATCATTAAAATCTAATTAAAATTAATTATTATCAATATCATATAATAGTCATTACAGTTACGGCACTGTCCTAAAAATCTCATCATCACCCGAATTACAGCACAATGCGTTTAGATTTTGAATTTAAACTTATCCTATTTAGTTCTGAGATTCTCAATAGTTAAAATTACTAGGTCGGTATTCTGGATTATTAATACATCAAGTTGGTCTTCACAATTAACTAAATACTTGGCATATGAACCTTTCAATATTTTTCAGTTTACATATCTGTGTATCAAATTATCCGTTCTAAATTCCTCCTGGTACCATTTGACCACGGGCTCAGGCATACCCTCGGTTAAACACTTGAGCGCAATTTTCCCATCACTCACAGTTCCACTCAATCCGCTGTATTTTAAGGGACAAGGCAACCCTTGATTTCTTGGAATCGAGGGTAATCCTCGTCCCCTCAGTTCTGGGGGTGAATCACAAATCTCGTCCTTCGAAATATCGATGTCTTTCACATTGAGTAAATATTCCCTCAAAAATTGCATATGACAATCGCACCTCCAAGGATTGCCTTTCAACGAGATATTTAGTAAACTTGTTTTCCGAAATTCCTTCCAAGACAAGGTCGTTAATTTGTTGGACTCCAGGTTTATTTTGTTTAAGAGCCTGTCCACGAATGGAGCATTTGGTAAAGTTTCATCCAACGAACAATTACTCAAGTCTAACTGCTGCATGAAATATGTAGCAAATGTTAAGTTTTTTATTGGATTTCCCCGCAAGTTTAAATTCCTCACAGATACACTTCCAGTATCTATGGATGACACGGAGTTGTAGCTGAGGTCAAGGGTTAGTAATTTGATGGGTTGTATACCGAGAAATGCGTCCTTATCGACATCCATAATTCCACAGTTGGATAAATTTATCTCCCTTAGATTAAAGAAAGCTTTATTAACGAAGATATTCGGGGTGAGATGGGTCAATTTGTTGTCACCGGAACTGAGGTCAAGCTTTGTAATGGATGAAGGGTCATGGTTGGTCGGAATATCTGTACAATTTGAACACTTCAGAACTTTAACTGTCTCAACGTAATCCTTCCAAATGGGGTCAGATATGGGAATGTCGTGAGGGGGAGAACAAATACAGGCAAAGGTCAAATGATGAAATGTAGCTAGGAGGACAACGATGGGCGGTAAAACTGACCAGATTTTATTAGCCATGACGGGAATATATGTATGTCTGTCCTTGTGAAAGTGGAGACATGGACTGGCGAAGAAAATGGATTAAATGCAAATATCTGGAAAGGTAGGAATGTTCTCGAATGCATATATAAATAGATGCAGTCCCTTCTAAATAATGCATAAATAACCTTCGGAATTTTCCAGAAAGGAGACGAGGTGAAGGTAAAGCATGCGTAGTTTCCAGTCGTATCTTCGTACATACATAATATGAACATATGGATAGTTTGTATGTATGTATAGTTCAGTACTTTGGGTGCCTTGGCCATTGATATTTTGGGATCAGTTATTGAAAACTTTTTTACAGTGTTATAGAAAAGGTTGTAAAAAGGTACATATTTGAAAGCCCAATAAACTTCCCGACTTGAAAAACTTCCCGTGTTGGTATCCAATAAAAACTACGCATGGTGTTCCGATGGAAGGCCAGAAGCTCTAAAAATTTAGAACTTAAAAATTTCTAAAAATTAAACACAATTTGGCGGAATTATGTATACATAATTACACGTAAAGAAACAAAGATAAATATCGTAACTCTACATACAAACACATGCATTAGCTAGGTAACTTATCTGATAATAGATAGGCATCAAAGTAAATTCAGAATGTTATCTTTTACAAGCCAGAGCTGACAAAAGTATTAACTTAATAGATAAATGTCTAATATTTGAACAATAATGATTGACAATATATTTCCTGTTTTTCAAGAATCTCCGCGCGTCAAAGCGGTATTTGCAGAGACAGTTTCACATATCGTCGTACTAATTCTAAATAGACTTAAGTGCAGTCGATGCTTAATTTTAAAAAGACTTAAGTGCATACGATGCTTAATTTTAAAAAGACGTAAGTGCAGTCGAGGTTTATTTTAAAAAGACCGATGTGCACACATGTATTTAGTTATGGTCGCAGTATTTAGCCATAACTAAATGCGTGGTGCACAGGTCTTTTTAAAATAAACCTCGACTGCACTTACGTCTTTCTAAAATTAAGCATCGACTGCACTTAAGTCTATTTAGAATTAGTACGACGATATTTAATTTACTATGTAAATAACTAAGCATCTACATGACAGTCCAACTTATATAACACAATAAGACCATCAAACAAATAAATCGAAACAATCAATCCATAATGTTCAGGACAAAAAAGGTGAGCTTAAATTTCAGCATACCCTTAATTAACTCACTTATTTCCTACCAAGCCATGTAGCTCACCCATTCTCTTGTAATCATATTAATTACCAACATGAGCAAACTCCTCATTCTACAGAGTATTAAGCGCTATTTAAAAGTTGGATATTATTTTCCCAGCACGTTCGTAACATGGGACAATCGACTTAGCAAGTTAAAGTTAATTAGCAAAAATAAGTGCAGAGTTGTTCATGCCGGAACAATTTTGCAGGTTATCGTCATCGCTACCAAGATCTGGTCGGTGGTCACGATGGCAACCAATCTTATCCTGGATAAGATTGGTTCTCTGACACTCTGACACTCTCTCACACTCTGGATAAGTTATCCAGGGTGTGACAGGTATCGCGATAACTTCGCTGGCAGCGATCGCATTTCTGTTACGGTTGGAACCCTCCGGGGATTATGTTCCCGTACAATTTCTGAACTTCATCTTTTCCACGAAAGGTACATATTAACTTAGACATATGTACAAGCACACGGTTTATTTCCTACTTACGTAAACTAGTTTAAGATATATATATGTATATAAGTCGTCAATTCGGCTTACGGTATAAATTAATATTTCGCACATACTTATTTCAAAATGTGCATGGGATCTTATAACGCCTTATTGCAATTAATATTCTTACTCAAGTGGGTGCACGATACTTACAAAATGACAAAACAAAATCACAAATCCCTTAAAATCCGAAAAATCAAAGATTCTTCACCAATTTGTTTTTACACATACAATTTTACTTTCAGATCTTCACTACAATCGACAAGAAAAGATGTTTCTAACTTGTCTTGGCGTCTTCTTGAATGCTATATTGCTCGCAGGGTTCGCTGTGGCATCAATTTGCGGTTTCTTGTCAATCTTGTTTCCCTGTCAACCGGGAATAATCAGCTCGGTCCTTTGTTCAACAGACACTGTCTTAGAATTATACCCATTTTGGAAAACAGGAACCCACATAATCCTCGCCGTTCTAGATTTTGTCGTTTACATTCAAGCCGGTTTGGGTGGGGCGTTCTATTTATATAAGATTAGCCCATTCTCTGTCTGTCTGTCTGACCGGAACGCATCCCTTCAATGCATTAGAAACGATAGCATTGAAGGATAGCAGCAGTTCGTCTGTGGCAGGATTTAATGGCATTTGATGGAATTTCGGAGTACTTTTCGGAGTACATATATTCTCATAATTCTCACAATTCTCAACATTCTCAACATTCTCATAATTCTCAACATTCTCAACATTCTTACAATTCTCATCATTCCCATAATTCTCACAATTCTCAACATTCTCATAATTCTCAACATTCTCAACATTCTCAACATTCTCATAATTTTTAACATTCTCATAATTCTCAACATTCTCATAATTCTCAACATTCTCATAATTCTCATAATTCTCAACATTCTCATAATTCTCAACATTCTCATAATTCTCATAATTCTCATAATTCTCAACATTCTCAACATTCTCATAATTCTCAACATTCTCATAATTCTCATAATTCTCATAATTCTCAACATTCTCAACATTCTCATAATTCTCAATATTCTCATAATTCTCAACATTCTCATAATTCTCAACATTCTCACAATTCTCAACATTCTCATAATTCTCAACATTCTCATAATTCTCGCTTGACAGAGGTGGTGAAAGTAGAAATTGTAAATTTATACATGGTTTGGATAATACATATATTGATCCCATCGTTGATCAGTTAGCCAACCCAAAAATTGAATGCATCCCGTGTTTTACACGGGCTATAGCCTAGTATCTTAATAATTCTCCTTACTGGGGTAACATTTCTGTGGATCGAAATTCAAAACTTCATCCGAGCATTTCAGGCAGGAATAGTTGATCAAATGGAGTACAGGAAAGTCCAGATTTTTGAAAGAATTTTGAATGATTGCACGCGGAAATCAATATTTTTGAAAACGGCGCTCCTCATGCCATCGCTACAAATCTTCATATCCTTTGCGGTCATTATGATGTATCACTCGGATCAGGTCGATGCAATCGTAACGGTTTTGTTCCTGTCTGTATATCTTTTCGACCTGGCCTTTACTCTGCAAATATTTTCTGCAGCGGCAAAAGCAAACGCGTCAAGTAGTAAGTGGATTGAATCGTGTAAAGGAACAGCAAAAAATAAATATGAGAGGAAATTTCAGAAATCTTTGATCTCTCTGAAGTTAATGTTTGGTAATAACTTTGTCGAAGTATTGACACCTTTGGTAGTGCAGGAGTTTTGTGTGAGACAAATGATGTCATTTCTGGTAATAATGAGGACGTGAACATGGACCAATTTAAATTGTCAACAACTCTACAGATTACAATATTGGTCTACATTCGTTACTATTTATTGTGGAACATATGAACTATACTTAGTGGTATACGTGTAATTTCTACATATTCATATTTGCTTTGATCATACCAATATTTTTTAGTAAGAATTGCTATGCAAATATCTCGCCAATCTTTATTATTAAATTTACAATACATAATCAAGTAATTAAATTTGGACAGGATAGCAATGCAAATATTTATGTAGCACAGCAACAGCAATAAATTTGTATTCCCAATTTATCACACGATTGATACATGCATATCATTAAAGCAAACTACCTACATAAGTATTTAGATGTAAAGAAAATAAATTACTCCGGATTCAATACTTAAAGTTTAGCAAAAAATAATATGTCAATTTCTGTTTCCACTTCACCAAAAATTCTAACGTGTCTCATAAATTAATTATATTTCCTGTAGAATATCTTACCAAAGACTAAACTTTTAATGATATTTACTTACTGGAAAACCTGACAGAAATGCAAATACATGTTTAAATACATACATGTGATGTGTAAACTAGATTGATGGCAATGTAAATAAATGAAATACGATCTAAGCATTAGATTCAACACTAAATCAATCCCATAAATTTATTCGCATATGATATAAATACATAAATATATATCCGTTGCAATCAGTAGTGAATTTCAAACAGTTCCTGAATTTGAATTCCTGGCAGTTCCTGAATTTCTAGATTCAGCCGGTGTCTCAAATAATGAAAAACAGACCTGGATTCTTCTCAGCCAGATACACGCTGGCAAAATTATGAACATAAATGCAGACCCGACATAAAGATACATTGATGCCAATATAAATTCTTCCGGCGATTTTGAAAGTCGCCCCCCACTCATCATCATCATCATCTTTTTCACCAGGCAGATCCAAAACATTGTAAAGAAAATTGTAAGAGCCCCTCCAACAATGATAAGCCATAAGTAATCTGGTCCGTCAAGATTTTCAGTTGGTACAACGGAGTACATCACAACCCCCATAATTCCCACGCCCACCATGGCTGCGAACAATCCCGTCAAATATGTCAATTCCGTCCTCAATTGAACGGGAAACAAGGTGATGAAAACGATACCAGACAGCGTCATCCCAGTTATATAATACATAACAAATTGAGACCTATATTTAAAGGCAATTGAAAAACAATTAATTTGAAAAATTGTTGTGAGTATTCTGCGCAAAGTAATCCGGTTATGTCCTAACTGGCACCAAATATATTACCAATGTGGTAATATTTATTAATCCATGGATTAGTTATTGTAATGTTGGTAATTTGGTAATAAATGATTACCCAACTGCAACGTATGTATGTACATGTTTGACCCTACACTGATAAGCGGTAGTAAAATAGATAACTTTCAAATTCAACAACCCACGTTCAAATTTACATCAATAGGTATGAGTACCTTACGATGGAAATTTGCTCAAGAACCGTTGTTTTTTTTGTAGTGAATTTCCATGCACCCATTTGTATAAATGCAACGAATCGGAGCAAAATTATGTCCAAAATTCATAACTTATATCATACCACAAAAGTATTTACATTATAGTGTACTGGCTCGGTAATAATTATGAACAAGTTTATTACAATGGCAGCAAGGTAATACATACATATCTGTACATATGTATGTATTTACCTGCATACATGTGTTGGCACCGCATGATAATAAATAATTTTTACCGGATTACTATGCAGGTGCATATCATTAGAAGCAGTAAAAAAACTCACGGAATTAGCGAAGTTAGGACAGGTAACAAAATTGCTGTAAATATGGTGACGAATCCCAAGAACATATAATTTATCATTGACGTTTCTTTCATCCATCCTGGTTGCATTTCAAGTAACAGGACACAAACAAAATCTAGGACAAACGAAATTACAGCCACGGAGTAAACAAAATATTTCGAATCCGGATGGAATAAGAAATCCTTCAGGGCCGGAACAAACGCGAACTGCACAGCAATTAAAAACGTCGCCAAAACTTGAACACACAGAATGGTGAACACACTCAGAGCAAAATCGCTAAACGTGGTGTCTATATATGACCTCACCGGTTTGGTAGCGATTTGCTACAGAGTTGTAGTAAATATGTTCCTATGTTGTAGTATTTCCCTACTGCGCTGTTACGGTGAGACAAAATGTGGTAGCAAATCGCTACCAAACCGGTGAGGTCATATATAGACACCGCCCGGTAGCAAATTTGCTTACTTTTTACTCTGAGTGCACTTTCCTGTCAAATTGTCAATGAAACATTCAGTTCGATATTTAAATGCATATTTTTAATAATTCAATCAATGTAATTATTCATAAATTAAATAGTTTCACCTGATAAATCCAATACGAATTATGTTGTCAGAGTAGGCATGAGAATCTCTAACAAGCTGCGCCGTGCTTGAGGTTCGACCTGGATAAAATTGCAACGGAGGAGCAGATTCGTCAACTTCGGCATGTTGTGGAATTGGCCAACGTGAATTTCTGCAGACTGATATAGGAGCACTGACAATATTTCCTTCAACTTGATTAAAAACCGGTTGTGACATTTTACAATTTTTTGACTAGTTTGAAACCAAAAAATATATGACTATGTGTAAATAAATAAAATCTGTTCCAGGTTTTCCCTACCAAACACACTACGGAAAATTTTGTTTCTGACTTCTGCAAGGGAATTTTGCAATTGCTAATTTTTATCTTCAGCAATGATTAATAACCTTCTTGTTACCTTGAGTAAAATGTGAGTTAATGAACCACATCAACGGCTATGCTGATCCGAGTTATTTGCTAAATATATACATTACGATGGAAAGGATTTTGTTTACATTACATTCTTCGTTACATATGCATGTAGAAGGATGTATGTAACTAAGTAATGCATGCATAAAAATACGATAAGATATGAAATCTACGTCAGCATTATATATGTTGCAGAGTGTATGTACAAGAAAAGTAAGCATATACTGCCTTGTTTTTCGTGGAAGGAAGCAATAAACAGTTCTTGCAAATCTGCTAACTTGACACATACTTTCCGCAACTTCGCATTGCAAGAGCATGGACAGTGAAATCGTTTTAGCATTATATCTTGCAGATGGATGGTTGACTTGCCGCTGTCCATACTAAGCTCTCGAAAGTAGAAAAATTAAATATTGGTAGGTAGGTATGCATGTTTTGCTGCATTATTATCAGGGTGTCTCTACTTGAATGATTTAATGCTCATGGGTATTGCTGTGTGATCATTTTCTTGCAAATCAGAGGTCGGGTAGTACATACATGTGGATGTAATGCTACAATATACATATGTATATATACATCAGGCAGGAAAGTAAATTTCAAAGTATTTACTAAGTTCTAAATTCACTGATTATTTATTAATATAATTTACAATTAATTTTTTTCACAAATATGATTTACAAAAAAATAATTTAGGAAGAGTAACAATCAAATTTAAATAACAATATTACCTCGATTTATATTAAAAACAATTCTACCTATTTTTACTGCGGAATGTCAAAGAATAAAGAACAATGTCAAATAATTAAACAATCATCTGAGACCGGCAACTCGACAAGTAATGCGGGTAAAATGTAGTGGAAATGAGTTTTTCGAGTGTGGCATAAATTGTCATGGAAAATTGTTAGGTCGTATTACCATCACACACTTATATTATTTCACCTAGATATTTAATTGGAGAAATATAGTGTCAAATATTGAAATCACAAATCTGAAGAATAAATTTGAGTTTCCTATATCCAAAACGTCGTAAATGAATGTATTGAAATATTTATGTCACATGTGTCAACCTAATCACTAACGTAAACACTTTTGTAGAAGGCTTTTACATTTTGCAATAACTAAAAGTGTTATTTTACACTGCATTAATCGCCAAAAGTGTGTAATTATTTTCCCTACTATTCAATGTTTATATATTATGTAGGTGCATTCATGTTCTTTTCACGTGTGCTTCTATGAAAGCCTGAGGGTAACTTGGAAAGTAACGTCTGAAGATTGAAGACAGGCAAAAAATAATTTCTGGAACGTCTACGCACTTTGTACATATTAATGCAATAAAAAAATATGAATGTCCATATTGTGCACGTGTCGTTTTTTACGCTTGTTGAATCACATTTGCCTTCACCTTAGCAAAGGTTTGTAAAAGTTTTTTCTGTTGTTGTGCATTTCTACTAGTAAGCAAATAAATATGACTTGGTTACATAGTGCAAAATTAAAGTAATATTTTTAATCAGTGCTACCACTGATATGAAAATGGCATCCATTTATTCAGTGCAACTGCGTTACACTAATATCCCTGACACAAAAGCTTGTTATAAATTAACTTAAGTTCAGAAAATCCGTTAACTAGGTAAAGCTCTATAGCTGATTTACTTCGTCCAAATTGGACGGTCCAATACATATATCCCATAATTACCATACATCAGTGGACATTATACAAATAGTCAACAAAGCCGAATAAATGCATGTTTGCACTCCGATTATAAATCAACAGTCAATATTTTCCAGGGTTCGGCTGTAATGTTGGCAAGATATCAATATCATTCGACCTATGTAACGCAAAAGAAATTATATGACTTTTAATTAGATTGCATTACATTTTAATTTATACGGTCTATAATCCTACTTTATTATCAATGCTCATATTTGTGTTTCTTATGAATTTTTTCGCATGTCGTTTAAAAAGACAGTAAGATTTACAGTACATGGATCTTAATTTTTTAAAATTAATTGCAATTTCGTTAAGTTGCTTCATGCGCAAACAAAATTCAAATTTAGCACGCAAATGATCTCGTATATTATTAGGTAGGTCAGCATACTTGGCACGAAAAAAGATTCCAAATTTATTCCTTAAGTTTACATGTTTAGAATATAGTGAAGAACACCTCACGAAATGTCATCTTATAAGGTACTAGTTAATTATTCAACGTTGCTCCACATAAAATTAACCAGGAAAGCCTTAGTTCACCACAACGGGAGAAATATGTACATATATTTGTCATTGGATGTTCTGATATCAAGTCACGCAAATGGATACGTATGTATATGCAAGTTATGGATTTATGTATGTCGCTCGCATTTAACGTAATATAATTTATTCCATGAAAACCCTTTTAAGGCTCTTGGCCAATAGAATTACAAGTTCTTCATTTACGTCTTAAAGGGCTAGACCAACTGCTCGGCAATACGTTAGGAGCTTTGAAATATTTTAGTAAAATGTTAAAATGTCTACAAAGCATATTCACATTACACTCCTGCTGATCACGGTGCCATCAGTGTTCGGCAAAGATAGCATATCATCCGGTAGTTTTGAATATTTTTGTAACTGTGTAATCAAATTCGTAACATTAAACGATACATTCGAGTATTCCGACCTAACAGAACACCTGATCCATGTCAATAATCCAAATACCTTGATCTTCACTGTCAGCGGGCGCCTAAACTTTTCTAACCTATCCATCGAAGACGAGAAAGTTGCGCGCGACTTTAAATTTTATGAGACTTGCACGATAGCCGTTTTTGTTAATTTTGGCATTGAGGATAACCAGTTCCGCTTTGACTACTTGGTTTTTACTCGTGACGTCCACAGAAGCTTGGTGCATTCCACAATGATCCTTATTTTTCGAAGACCCAATCACCACTTAATGATGCATGCGCACAGGTACGACTATGTGGTGCCTTACAGAGTTTTCGCAGTTGATTTAGAGCAAGAAGTGCTAGACCGAACGTCTATATTAATTCATCTAGAATTCAAATGGTTTTTCTACTGTACCTACTGCAAAACAATGTTTATCCCGGTTCGTTACACGTCGCAGATTAAGACGTTAACTGTAATGTCGCTACACGCTCACGAGTGGATGAACGACGTTTCGATCGGGGCAGTATACATAGATAGGTTTAAACCAGGTGGGATCTGTGGCAAAGGGCAGTACCATATCGCACCTACTAGGGAGCAATGTTCAGTCTGGGAGAAGCAGTACTTAGTTATGAGCAATATTTTAAATGTCACTTTTCATCAATTTATTTTTGGAAAAGAACAGCCATGGCGATGGATTTTCAAAAGTGTTATGCGACCTTGGTACCAATTTTACTACATGAATACGTTATTCTCATTCCATTATCACGGACGCGACCTGATATACTGTAACTTCAACGTCTGGTCAGATAATTCGGATTTTGACGTGTGGGTTTCCCCTTTCCTCACAGGTTTGGATTAGTTGGCTTGCATTCATGGTGACTTTAGTGATACTAAGATTTGTGATTGACTTCTTTAAACCAGAAAATATTTTGAACTTCGATGTATTAAAAAGCATTGTAGGAGTTATGTTTACAATTTGGGCGCTGTTTCTCAGACAATCGGCAAATAGTAAACATCTCTCAAGTTGGATCATGGCGTCTTTGCTCTTCGCAAGCCTTGCATTACTTGGCAAGTACGAGGTGCACGTGATGGAAAATCTAGTTGCGCCACCGCCATTTCAGAAATTTCGTACTCTGGCCGAGTTCCTTTTCAAGGGTTATACCCTTGTTTACGAGTCGGAAGAGTGGACTGGAGTGTATTCACCAAGAACTCGCTTGCAATGGGAATTTAATGAGATGTCACTTGGCCAGTTTCCGCATGACAAAACCATCGTTATCATGTAAGTATCTGTAGGGCAAATTCTGAATGCCGTAGCTTATGCTAATTCAAAACTTTTTTATGCCTTGTTCAGCTAGTTTTACTTATAGATTTAATTAATTAAATTTTCAGGTACAACTGGAATAATTTGACTAATTACGTTACTAAGGAGAGTTCAAAAATGGGCATCCTAATAAGGGATGAAGATCGCGCTCAAACTGTTCTCTACTTACAAAATTTACTCCTCAAAGGACAGTATGAGTGTTTGGTGACACACCACGTTGCCCTGTATGGGCATTATTTTTCTATTGTGGATAGCATTTTAAGACACGAGATTGGACAGAGTATAAATGGATTGGAGATGGCAGGTATGTTAGAACTGTGGCTGCGACGGTTTAATCACTACCTTAAATTGAAAGCGGCTAAGTGGGCAACAACGGGAGTGGCGTCACCTTTTATCTCTATCAACACACTGTCATCCTTGTTCACCGTTGTAGGAGTAATTGGTCTTACAGCTGTTCTACTGTTAACAGCAGAAATTATATTAGGTAAAATAATACTAGGGCAAATATGGGGATTTAGTAGAATTGTTGTATGTGTTGGATTTACAAAGATGCGGTGGTATTTTTAAATCTGTAGTCAAATTAATTTGGTTTTGCCACGCAAGTACATAAATCGAAGTCTTACTTAACCAACTAACCTTATGGTAGATCTAGTATGTACAGCCGTAGTATTTTCTGTATGCACGTCTTATGCGCATGCCACGAACCATAATGCTTCGTGGTTCGTGGGCTTCGTGGTTATTAGGCCACGCACATAAATACCCAAACTTTCGATTTTCCTCTATGTAACCTAACCTAACCACTAAAATATCTAAGCCATTGTAATCTTGCGAATAAAAAGGCGACATTGTTCTAAGTACATACACTGTCGCTAATAATTTAGTCGTTGAAGTCATCTCCATAAAAACTAGTTAGAACACTATCAAATTAATTACCCACCCTGCAAGTAAATCCAATTTGGGCAAGCAAGTACATACTTAATTGTCACGGTTGAGAATCGAGGGAAAGTTTTATTTGAGAAAATTGTAATATCTGCTCTGATTTTGTGATGGTATGTGTTTTACGGAGAGAGCGAGAGGGAAGAAAGTTGTATTTTTAGCAATCATGGTTTGTGTACCTACATTCTGTTAAAAATATATTTATGAATTCATGTATGTATTCATCTCCTTTTATGTACATGTGGCTTTATTTGGTAATGAGACCGGGATCCAGTGAGACATACGATTAAGTGTGAACTGATCTGCTTGAGACTTTCAGTTCTTTTTCTAATAATTTCCGTCCCTCGTGGACTTGTCCATTTTTACAATTTTCATTCTCATCTTTTCAACATCTTAGCATAGTCACCACGTCTTACTTTTGTGAGCGTGACATAATTAAGGAAGATCTTGTCTTCCTTAATTGTTTGTATTAGTTGAATACCCTTATCATAAAATTTTTTCAAAACCCGGAGGCACCACTAGCTGTGAAGTACAATTCGTAGTGAGAAATTAACATAAAACTTGTGAATAACAAGGACACAAAGATTGACAGTGTGCAATATACTTGCGAGATTTACGAATATCAATGTGAGTACTGTCAATCCATAGATAAGGTGAAAGTAAATAAACACGTGGAAGTATACATACATAAAAATGATGTCTGATAGTATCAGATATCATTTATATGTATCACACTGATATCAATAGGCATATATAATAACTGGGCCATAGCCCGTGTGCAACATAGGTTCCAGTATACGTTGAATATCCACACAATTTCACATTCTAGATAAGATTACTCCATTCTCTGTCTGTCTATGGGGAACGCACCCCTTCAATGTATTACAAACGGTAGCATTGATGTATAGGTGGATGGAGGTGGTCGTGAAGGCCTTATTTAAATTTTAAGTAAGGTTAGTTTAGGTTTCCTGTGTTTCTGTGGAATCTCTAGTGTTTCGGATGTTTTCGTGGGTTTGATGGTGTTTGTGTGGGCTCTTTGGTGTTTTCTTGGGGTTTCCGGTGTTTCTTTGGTGTCAGTAGTGTTTACCAAAACATCGAAACACCAAAACAGCAAAACATCAGCAACACCAGAGAGTCCTCAGAAACATCAGCAACCTAACCTTACATACCTAAAATTTCTATAAGCCCTCCCGACCGCCTCCATCCACTTCTCCATCCACCTATCCGTCAATGCTACCGTTTGTAATACATTGAAGGGATGCGCTGCGCACAGTCAGACCGACAGACAAACGGACAGACACAGAGAATGGACTAATCTTATATGGAATGAAACACATTCCATAATATATTTAATACCCTTCCAGCATTCCAACATTTATTGGACAGATACAGATTATAGGATTTAAATTAAATACCAACATTTCTTGTCAATTACATCCTTCAATCAATATCTTCGTAGCAGGAGTGAACATATACATACATATTCGTATACATACTTATATGTACACGAATTCTAGTGGGAAATTATTATTACTGTACTCTATAGGCCGTGGGCCCGAAAGGGTAGCGAATTCGTAAATTAATAAATGAATAAATGTAAACGAATTCAGTTTACATCTTTAATTGCATCACCGTCTGCTTGTCAGAAATCAGTCACTGATTAATCTGGAGAAACATATGCATACTGCTATGAATGAAAATATGAATGAAAATAAGAAACAATGTTGTCTAATAAATTCCGTTACGATGAGTGTTTTACTTAAGTATCTCACAAACTGAAATTGAAAGGTATCAGTGGTGTTTTACTCTAGAAAATCCGCATCATGTAACAGGAAATACTTTTTTTATTATAATGTAGTCCACCCATGGATTACGTCAACTCAACAATATGTACAACAATATCAACATATTATGTCAACAATAAGTATGTACATAGTTATGTCATGCCTTATCAAATACAGCAATGGATATTAGACAAATCACTTTTTCACTCATATATATATATAAGTAAATACTAGTGTAGACTTATAAACTTGTATATACATATGTATTTACATATTTTATTCGCTTGTCATTGTTCAAATGTTTAAAAAGTGCTGAACTGATCAAAATAAAGTAAAATTGTTTACACTGATTGGGGTAATCTCAATATTAATATACTCCGATTAACTGTGTGCCTCACCTATAAATGACATCAGCTCGTGTTCAAAATTACAATACTTTGTTGACTTACCTGTTGTTAACTGCAGTAAATAAATTTCTGTGCAATACATAACTTGAATGAAAAGTGCAAATTTTCTCAGTCACATCGTGAGAAGAAAGAAAGTCTCAATTTTCGATATCCACGCCGCAAAACATAAGTTACCCCCAAAGTCTGTAAATTACAGAAGTCATGTCTTACGGCTACTCTAAGGGTAAAATCACTGAGGATATTAACATGGAGAATGAAGACGACACAAGCGAAACTGAAGACAATAGTGAAAATGAACAAATAATTGAGCTGGAAACGTGTGAAAGTGAAGAAAACAGTTTTAATGCAAAAGAGCAGTGAAAATGGTGAAATAAGTGAACTGGAAAAGAGTGAAAGTGAAGAAAATAATGAAACTGAAGAAGGCAGCATGAATGCAGAAAATGATGAAACTGATGAAGATAGTGAAAATGAAGACACCAGTGTCAATGAAAGCATATCAAATTCATCAGTTAAGCCGGCTAAGCGTAAAAATAAATCGCTTCCGAGAAATCTTGGATGTCAGCTTCATAAAATTAAAAGCAACGCTTAACATTGATGACGAGATAATAAAGATAATTAAAACTTATAATGACAAAGAACTGAAAAAGCGAAAAGATGACCAGGTCCAATTTAAAGAACGGCAAATTCAACCGCAGAATCTGCCCTCGAACACCTACAATTTCAAAACCGTCTTCTACGAAAGAGTTGTTCCTTCTTCAGCCCCTTTCTCAAATTCGTATGGATTGAAAACTTCCAAGAGAACCGTTTCTCAATTATGCTTCTATTACCGACTCAAAAAAAAATTCGGCAACATATATAAACAGTAGCGAGACACAATCATACGAAGCATATGTCGTAACGACTGCATTCGCATACATACCAATTCTGCCCTTTGCTGATTACTCCTTCGTGAATAAAATTGCTGCCGTACTTTTCTCCCCGGATGGAATGTACTCTGACACAAACAGACCTTTATGGGGGAGTGATATTAAAAAATCTAGGACCTCAAGAACTAACAAGATTCCATCTCGTTTGGATTATTCGTTTATGCTAAACTATGAAACTACTTTGCGAGAAAATTCTTCTCTTTTAGAATTGGCATGTTTCCCCAAGAGAAGCAAAGTATCCATTAAAGCTGGTGCGGCTAGGATACGCTTCGTGAAGAAGATATCCGCTGCGGATATTTATAAAATACTTGACCACTTTTCAAAAATTATGAACGACGAACCAACTTACGAGCACAACGTTACTGGTATAAAAAAGGAAGAAGCGAAATATCCAAATATTCACAGAGGTATTGCAAGTGTTATTCCAAACGAACATATATCAGAAGGTGAAACTGTCTATCAATATTTAGACAAACAATTAATCGCCGCATATGAAAATATACGAGTAAATCCGTCACTTAATAATGACCTGCAAGATTTGGAGTTTTATGATAAATGTATAGATGACTATGTATCTGGAAGTGAGTACCGATTAATAAGAGAAGACATAAAAACTGACGCAGATCGTATTGTCCACAAATGGAAATATCCACCAACATGGCTTGACGTTCATGAATGCATAATAAAATTTGCAAATGAACTTCCAATAAATAATACAGTGCATCCAATTAGTTTCGCGACTGCCATGAAAAAGTTACGCTTTTGGTATAAAAAGCCTTGCGATTCAGACTTTACCAAACGTACAATACTGTCCCTGTTCCAAGGAGGATTTGTGACGGAGTTAAATTCGACAACAAAAATTAGATGGAGAATTAGCAATATTTGGTGCGAGATTTTTGACGATGCTCTATTAACAATAGAAAAGGAGTTTGTTGAGAAGATAAAACGCTACCTAATCCTACCAGGTAAGCCTGGGTATTTACCGTTTCACTATAAAAGGGATAAGAACGCTAAATCCAAAATGCCACGAGCAAGTGGTGATTCCGCACCACGTAATAAAAAATCAAAGACGGTTGACGATGATAATGAATCAAAGGCTCGAGAAAAATCCTTATATGAAGAAATTTACAACTATTCCTACCTACATAGCCCTGGCTATTTCGTTGGGGACCAGGTAGAAGATTATAATATTGAATTCTTTGATATTTTATACACCAGTGAGAAATCTGCATTCTTATACCACGTTAAAGAGAAATTTGGACAGAATACACGAAATGCTGCTTCACAGCTACGCATTTCATTAAGTCTTGTACTAAATAACATTATAAGTGGATTCCCGGGGTTCCAAAATTATGCCCGCCTTGCTGAAATAAACGGTGACAATTTCTCCAAAAGATTTAGGTCTGAAGATGATTTAAGAAAATGTTTAAATTCAGCAAGTTTTGTGTATGCCTTTGCCGACTCAAATAATTCCAGCGATTGTATTAATTTTGCTGATGAGCGGAGCAGAAGTTTTCAAATGCGATTTGACACATTGAGGAAAGGCATTAATGAAAAAGTTGAGAATGCTTTGAAAAGGAATTACGATACCGAGATTGACCGCTCGATAAAACTATTTCAGGAAAGACTAATCAGTCGTGGGTATCTTTTACGTTGCGGATCAATTACTGCCAAGTTACTATATGAGACAGAAACAAATTTCGTTAAAGAATTTGTAGGAAAGAATCCGAACACAAGCAAAATACTATGGACTGGAATTTTGAAACCGTTTACAAAGAACTATAACTCGCTTCTTGCTAAAATTGAGTTGATTGAATTGGCAAACTATATAACGACAAGAAACAGGAAGTTTAAAATCTGTCAAATTCCTTTCGACCACACAAACCAGTCTTCACAAGTTGTCCCAACTGACGGATCGGTGCACTGTGACGAAAACGGTATGTGTTTTTCTTTGCTTAATATTTATTTAGAACTTATTATTATTATCCGACATACATAATACATAAGTACTTGTGTACCCATACATATGTACATATAAATATGCCGCATTAGTGCTGCAATTTTATATGTTTGGCAGTAAGTTGAGGCAAGTCTCTATCTACATATACTCTATTTCTATAAAGATATTTCCGAATCACAAATAGTATCAAGCTCTTGTAGATATATATGAAAACTTTGGATATGATCAACGTTGGTAGTTTTCCATCACAAAAATTGCGATGGCCTCTGAATACACACATACATATGCACATAATTTGCGTAGTTTTAATTACTTTTTTTGTTTTAAGATGCCATGGATATCCAAGATGCGGATACAGAAGTGGTCGAAGAGACTGATGAATATGAAAGTATGGATATTGGTACAGAATGGCCCAGTCAACGGTATGGAATTTCAAATCCTGGTAACACCTGCTATCGTAATGCAGCCACACAACTCCTTTTGGAAATTCCTGAATTTGTCGCAATGTTTTCATCAAACAATGCTGATTCTCAATTAAAATCTTGGATTGGGGATAGAATTAATGAGACAAGGTCATCAAATTCCTCCAACATAAGACCATCAAGTCTGACACAATCACAATGCACGCTCAGCCAAATCTTAGGCACACCAAATATGTTTGTAGAAGGCGAGCAGGATGATTCGTCTGCATTCCTTTTGGAAATAATAGATAAATTAGGAGATACATTCAAGCGATTGTTTGAATTTGGTGTCGTAAGAACTAACCAAAATTTTCAATTAGAAGGAGTATTAAATATTCCATATCCGGATAAAAAATTGACAATGAAAAAATTATTTAATAAATATTTGAAAGGATTTGGGAATCGTGCTGAATCCATGAGAATATCACTACCCTCCAATTATCTTATTCTTACGTTATCCATATTTAACAATAACTTAGTAAAGTTCGTATGCAACAAGATTACAAACTTTGCAGATAATATTAGTTTTGTGTCAAATGGCAAAAAATATATTTATGAAGTCGTTGGTTTAATCTGTCATATTGGGGAAACAATCAAGGGAGGTCATTATGTTTGCTTGATAAGACGTGACAATAAAAAGTGGATAGAATATGACGATAATAATGCACCACGTGAACGTAACGTTATTCCAAGTGGTAAGGATCCCTACGTTATTCTCTATCGAAAGTTGGTTGACGAATAAGAATGTAATCAATTCAATTAAAAATCTGTATATACCTAAATTATGTTTATACTACTGAATTAAATATTTTGAATGCGTCAAAACTATAAATAATAAGAAATTTGGACACTTAACACCGATACAGTCGTTACGTTTAATTAACTTTTTCAAATTGGGTTCGGCGGTGGAAAGAAAACCTGTATGACTACTAAACAATGTGTTGTAAAGGGATAAAGTAATTTATTTATATGTATTATATATGTTTATCAAATAGATGCACATATTTAATATCTACGTTTCTAACATATCTGATTTGACACAATCTATTCCAATTATTTATATTTTCGGATTCTGTTAAATATATTTATGTACATAGAGTCAATGTTGACCGTTAATTAATTTCCCATTTAAAATGTTTCCCTTTTCCTTTATCAGCTTAGCAACTTTATTTAATACATAAATATAATTACATTTCATTGTATGTATGCAACATATGCATATTTATCTATTAGCTAACTTTAAATATATTTATCCACATAAATACATATGAACTAACTGGAAATAATAAAACCTATAAAATAATGTACCCATATTTTTTAATTCGTGTACTCAAAAATTAATGGTCTAAGCGTTATTGCCAGTGCACGGTGTATGTAGACATTTAATTTATCAAAGTGAAATGCAAAATTGGATGTCTTTGGTGGGAAAACCTATTCTCTCGCTCCTGATATGTTTGAGGGGAATGTTTGTGCATGCTTTGTAAGACGAATTGATTTTTAGACAGCTTCTTAAAATGTTGTACAGAAATTATATTCGAAACTGTATTTATTACATAATTAACTTTAATAAATTGACAACAAATATCTACTGAATAAAATCATTGAACAATCCGGAATTGGAATTATGAAGTTGTACAAAAATCCATACATATCTCCCACAACCATTTTAGAATGCCTTAAAATGTCTGTCATTGAAAAACTAACTCTCCCTTTCAAATAGTATGCAAAATGCTAAATTTTAATAAATAAATTTTAATATGTCAACTTGATAAAATTTAAACTTTACGTGTTCCACGTTATTTTTTATTTACCTAACTTCTTCATGTGGCCTCGGATTTTATTAGATCCATAACAAATCACCTCATTTCTCATATCTTTCTCAACAGAAGGTGACCATGGACCGTGGTAATAATCTGGCTTGGAGACAAAATCAATTCCTCTTGAGGTAAGATAGCGGATGACATCTGAAAATTTATAATGAGAATTAAAAATTTATTAACTAAACAAATTTGGGGAAAGCTTAATTAATATGTACAAAATGTGTAACTTTATTTAAACAATTATTTTGCTATTTTTTGGCTTGGATTTTTTACGTTTTATTGCTTACCAATTATTAGACACTGCTTCTCTTCATCTAATTGTTTCCGTTCTGTATTTTTCTTGCCCTTCATTGATCTTCCGGAGGGTGTGGAATCGCGGAATTCGTCCTCATCAAAGATATTTTTAAGTAAAAGATTTCGTCCCATGTGGATCGGGCCATTGGACTTGTATAACGTCTCTGTCGAGGTCCACGTCCCTTTGGAAAGAGCGTGGCTTCTTTTAGCTTCTTGCATTATACCATTCGTTAACTTAATTGGGAAGCGAATCGTCTAAAAATATTATGCAGAGGTTTCAAATTTTAATACAGGATGGTCCAAAAAGTGACCCGACCATGGATCAAAATTTCTCGATCCAATTCTCACTTGCATGTAAGTTATATAAATTTACTAAATTTTTGATCATGGCTATACTTTTCTAATACATACATATGTAAATGAAAAATGCTGTGGATTTGTAAAACAGTGTGAAATCAAGCATAATGTGTTTACGAATCTTAGGAGCTTAAAAACTGTTCCATTATTACAGCCCTCTAGACATTTTATGTTGATAGTCTTTAATAAATTACCAACGATATATAAGTCGGGTCTTGGTATTCATCCCTCAACAATTTTGGCTCGATCCCATTAACGCCTCCATTCAGTTTGAGCGCTTTTAGTTCCTCCTTATTCAGCGGTAATTCAACCCAGCTAAAATTGGCGCCGTCATGATCAGTTCTGCTGACTCCAATTATTCCAGGATTCTGCGTTATCTGAGATATGTACAAAAGGCAATTCAGTATTAACTGAAAATTATCCTCGAATGGTTTCACGCCTTACGTTTTCCACGCCTAAATTCATTATGCCCAAAACTTCCAAAGGCGATGGTAAATTTCCGAGGTCTATATTTTCAACATTTTGAACAATCGGTAAGACCAATGGTGTGGTCGGCGCTTGTGGTAGAATAACGGATGCTGAAGTGCTCGGAATCCCTTTTTCAGCTGATGAAATGCCTACTTGTTCTTGCAATAAGTCTCTTAGCCTGCCAAGAACATTGTTCCTCCCATGGAGAAAAATCTCTTTATCGATCTCGATACATTCTTCGACCGTGGGGTATACGTTGTGAGATGGTATTTGGGAATCATACATTTCTTCGTATCCCTGCTTCATGTCCATTATGTTGTGTAGGAATTTCGACGCGCCTGTATTGTAAAGAAATTTTTAGATTTGTGTCTGAATTTTCGCTTTATTCGAAATGATCGATTTGGTAAGCTGTTTGAAACTTGGAAGAATTTATGTAGGAAACATTTCAGAGGAGATACGCATTGTAAAATTTTTGGAATTTTAATTAAGTGCATAATTTTAGGTGGAAGTAATTAATTGGGAAGGTTGATCCTGGGCTGAGTGGTTTGCTACATGCCACCGAAGTAATTTTTAGTTTGTTAAGTTTTTGTCCTAATTTTCGTATAAAATCGTTGGTTAAAAACTTACGGTAAATTGCCAGCATCTGAACAGCGCAAAGGGATTCGACTCCAATGAAGGATTCCATTAGTTCGACAGTGTCACCAAACTGTAGTCTGATAATGGTGCTTGACAACTTCGCAGCTATTTTTGCAATTGAAATGGACCCACTTTTAAATGCGGCTTTCCATCGTTCCTCACTAAATTGGACGGCGTCCTAAAGCAAACATATTATTAAGGTATATGTATATAGGTCCAATACCCAATATCGTAACGATTTTAATTTGTAAGATTTAAAAAAGAATTGATTATTAAAAATTTAGTATTCCATATTTTTTAGTATTCAAATCATACCACGATTTGATCCGTATTCTGCGTAATTGTGCCTTTCGTCAATGCAGCAGCTATTTGAGCCGTGTCCATTTTCATATCTCTAACATTGCCGGAGTTTCTCACCACAGTCACACATTTTCTAAACATTTCCTCATAGTTGGTCTCCTCTCTTGCCACATGCTCGAGAAAATCTCCAAGTTCGTCGGGGAGGTCGCGATCATCCCAAAAATTATCGACGATTGAATCCATTCTATCAAAGAGTTCGCCAGTTTGGGACGGTGCATCCTGTTCTACGCGAGGATCGAATCGTTTGAGTACGGATCTAATATTGGATGCTAGATTATCGTCCAGAGATGGAAATTTAGCCATAATTTTGTCAAAACTGGACGGAAATGACCACGGATTTATGTACGAGGTTGGATTAAATTTCGACATCATGAATATTATGGCTCCTGAAATTTACAAATTTATACAAAAATTGTAATTATTGAGGGTATTCATAGAAAGTTTACACCCTACGAAATTTAGAAACATAAACAGAGGTTTCGCGAATTCTGAAGTGGTAAATTCATGCTTGTTAAATTTTAAAAGCAGAAATTAAAAACAGACAACAGACAAGCTATTCATTACAAATTTACGTATTAGCTTGTAATAAATAGTACTAAAATTTAGACCCACGCAAAAAATTATTAAAATTATTACTTATGGAAAAAATAATTATCTTAATTGGAATTTTGTCTCACGTTCAATAATTTTGAGCGTGTTGTGTCTCGCAATTCTGTCGGCGATGATGATACGACGACATTCCGTGTGAACGATCGCCTTCAAAACAAATTTTGTGGTAGATTCGAGGTCGCGTTGGTTGAAAGCTGCTGCCCAGGCGGCTGGTTTAATTTTAATTTCGAATAGATTTCCAAACTTTTGAAGACCGCTTGGGACCTATAAATTATAAAATAATGTTTTTGTTTTTACCAAATATTTTATTAAGATTTTTTAAAAGTCATCATCACCTATACAAAAAAATTATTACATTAAAATGGTTATCTATGTGTGTACATAGAACTAAATTAATGGAGATAAAATTAGACTTTTTTTAAACTTAATTTAAAAATTTAAAGTTGCTCTTTAATTTTATTAAACATGATTTCGTGTTTAGAACTTTAGGAAAAAGGAAAAAATAGATTAAAAATGTTTAAAACTTTAAGTGTAAAATGTATTCTAAATTTGAAGCGTTGCCCTTGGTTGTGTAAAACTTAAAAGATAAATTATGTACTAACGTGTTCGTACCATCGTACCAGAAGTTTTCACACATTCAAAACATCACATTTTTTCAACATATTTTTTTATTTAAAAAAACTTACCCTTGTGATAACCAGGTCATAATTCAGGAACGGCTGATAATAAATAATATGTTCGTTTCCCGTCTTCTTCGTCAACGAAGACTCCGGTTCAGTTCTGACAAAATATTTTCTAGATTCGCCAATCTCTCTAGGAAAATTTTCTTCCATGAATTTCTGCGTTATGGAAACTTCACGTGGGCGTTTCTTTCCTCGAGATGTAGTCATTTTTCTTACACTGGCTATAATTATTTAAGACAAACAATTTTTTTTACTATTGCAAAAATGTAAGATTGTGCGTAAATTAAATTATAACTCAAAGGTAATGCTCTCAAAGAAATTCTTCTAAAAAAAGATCACTATGGTTATACAGGTTTATATGCGATATGTAAAATTGCACTCTTTAAAGTTATCTATCTCTATCTATGTAATGTACCTCACACTAAATTATTGGACTTAGACAAAATCGTTTCCATAAAAAAAATAGTAAACCATGACAAAGTTTATCGACTTGTTGATAAATTTGTTGTAAATGATGTTCACAAGTAGTTTACACTAGCTCAACTCACCACTGAATGATGCAAAAATCAGTCAATCAACATTTATATATATATGCAGATACTCACAATATTGTTTTGTATTGGGGAAGGATCCTGAATGAGTTGCTGTATGTCTAATGATGAATACAGACACACCATTGGAGACATATCTGCATGTGTATAAATCGGGGGTTAATAATAATTTACTATGCACAAGTGGAACAGGATTCGCAAACTTACCCACTAAATATAATGCAATTTAGACCACCATTGACGTATGTATTTATGCACATCAGTAAATAAATACATATGCACACAAAAATTGGACACGTACTTAATTAAATACTCCGTTGGGCTCCATTTAATAATCGGCGACTGAAATATTATATACTCACCGGCAGGATAACACTTATCCCACTTGTTTTATATCAGGTTAGAATGTTTGACTTGAGTCACTCCATTCATTCATGAAGGATTTCAGGCTTCGTGAATGGTTTTCATAAAAACCTGCAAATCTTCATGAAAACCATTCACGAAGCCTGAATTTGCCAAAGTCCGTGTTACTTTCATGGAAGTGTTCATCTTAGATGAACATCTTAGATGATTCATCTACCATGAAATGTTGCGTACTTTTGTAAATACAATTGCAGGTTGGAGCAAATGTTTGATGAAACGCCCTTCAGGATTAGACGAATGGAGAAATTATGAAAATTTTTATTGCAATTAAGTGAAAAATCCGAAGGTTGGAAAAAATTGAATTTATATTTGTCTATTTTCCGTTAAAAAAATTTATACACTAATTGTTCATAACTTGATGGCATTGAGGAAATCGTATTGCAATTGAGACGACAAGGACATATGGACGCGTTTCGTGGAATTCCTTGGATACCAGTGAGTCGCTCGCTACCTAATTAATTCGTTGGTTTGGTTTAACCTCGCTGAATTCGGAGAAATTAATCTGTGCAAATATTTAAGTTGGGATGGATTATATTCAAACAATTATGAATTTTGTCCCAATTTACAAACTCCAACATAAAATAGTTAAGGTTGAAATATAAGCGGATATTGTACATAAGTCAAGCTACTTTGAAACGTAAAAATTAAGGGAATATTTGCACCATTAATTTGTATACAAGACTTATGACCAAAAATTATGCATTATGAAAGGGTATCTATTTGATTCCATCATATAGAAATGTAATACTCTTCATCATATATATTTTAGTAAAATTCAGCCGTAGTTAATATTTGGCGAGGAATTAGTATCTTCTGGATATGTATAGTTTAAACTTTTAATTAAAACCTGGCATATTAATAGTAGTATGAAATACTAATAAGTGACAATAACTTATGGTTCCCAAACCGTGATAAGTATCTGACGCGAAATAATTTACAAGGCACGCGCAAGCCAACATTTTGTAAGAGAGTTAATATGTACATACATTCATAATGAGAGTGTTGCTCACCAAGAACTACCCATAATTACTGAATATGTGGTAAAGACTTAAATCATCATAATTATAGAAGGGATTTTTTACTATTTTTTATTTCCTTTTAAAATTTTTAAATATATACAGAATTTTCGAAAAACACAGGATTTCATGATTACTTATGCGACACAAATTTCATCCACTCTAATACCATTAATAAAATTATTCACAGTTTAATTGATATAGTGGAGGGTGCAAATAAATATTTTATGGAGATTGAGACTCAATCTACAAAATATCGCATCATCAATGTCGTCTCAACTTATTATTTATAAACGCACGTGAACTCATTAATATTTACAAAAGTTTAAACTCGTAAGGTGTAAACTTGTGACTTCATAACGATAAGTGATACATACGTATGTACATATGTATAACTTATAGTTATTAATTAACAATGAATTTTACTATGCGTAAAATGGCACCGTCGCATAGCGTTTCGTCTACACGGTCACTACAAACTATGTAATTAGCAGGGCAATGCATTTATTTGGAAATTCCCAATCTTACTTGTTCGTGGATTTAGTATACAACGCTGCGTACGATACGCCTATAAGTGACCGAGAAGGTCCTTTCTGTTGCTTGGAAAAAATCACGAATGCTTCCTTGTACGGTCGGTATGATAGGATTGATGAAATTGAGTCATGAAATTGTTATAGTAACAAATTAAGAAATGTAAAAAACGAGTAAGCTGTTGAGTTATTTTGAAATTTATGTATATACATGTAGGTAATACAAATATATATATTTATCGATAAACATGTCACAGATAAAAAAATTGTATACATAATTCATTTACATTAGTTTCTAATATTTTTCTCTAGGGTGATGCATTTCTCAAAATTTAAGCTTCAATTTTTCAACGTTATTTCTTACCTACCTAATTTCTTTAGGTCACCTCTGATTTTATTTGACCCGTAACAAATCACCTCATTTCTCATATCTTTCTCAACAGAAGGTGACCATGGACCATGGTAATAATCTGGCTTGGAGACAAAATCAATTCCTCGTGAGGTAAGATAGCGGATGACATCTGGAAATTTATAATGATAATTGCAAATACTTCGTACATCCAAATCTAAGTAAAACTAAATTGAAGAAAATATTTGATTTGATTCAAACAATTATTTCGTCATTTCTTTTCACATAAAAATTTTAATCTAAATTAAATTAACAACAAATTTCTATGACGGGATAAATTTCGTTCATTCCACTCAGATTTATGTAATGTTTTTTACGTATTTTTATGACCGAATAATTCCGTGGGGATTTGTACAGTCCAACCAAACGTCTAAACAATTGGAATTGAATAACTCGACCTACCTGGGGTCAGTATATACTTAAACTGTATTTGTTGAAATATTTTTACTCACCTATAATTAACCACTGCTTTTCCTCGTCTAACTGTTTCCGTTCTGTGTTTGGTTGACCCTTCATTCGTCTCCCGGTAGGCGTGGCATCGCGAAGTTCGTCCTCATCAAATATATTTGTAATGAGCCTTCTTCCCATGTGGATCGGGCCATTGGTCTTGTATAAGCTCTCTATTGATGTCCACAACACCTTAGAAATAGCGTGGCTTCTTTTAACTTCTTGAATGGTGCCGTCCCCCAGTTTAAGTGGGTATTGAATCGTCTATTAAATATAAAAGAAAAACAACATGTATGATCTTTCTAAGCATAATTAGGATGCAAATTTGTCTGCTGAGAGATAAAAATTTTCAATCTAAAAGGACGGCTTTATAAAAAACTAGACCTTCGACAAAAACTTTTGCAAATTTCAGCTTAAAAACTACTGCATTACATTAGTTATTACATTTATTACATTGTTATCCAAGCAACCCTGTAAATATTTCAAATAAAAACAACCATTTACCAATGAAATATAACTCTGGCCTGGATATGAATCCACCAATAATATTGGCTCAATCCCATTCAAAGCTCCAGTCCTTTTGAGCAATCTTAATTCTTCTTTATTATGCGGCAGTTCAACCAAATTAAAATTGGCGTCGTCATGAGGTCTAGGACTGACTTCGATAATTCCAGGATTTTGTTTTATCTGCGGTTCACAAGACGACGCAATATTAAGTTCGCTTTGATAAGACGAAAATGGCCCTGGAATGCTTTGGTGCACTACATTGTCCACTCCTAAATTGATTAGGCCATCAATTTCAAAAGGAGATGGTAAATTGGTGATGGGAATATTCCCAAAATTTTGAATCATCGGTTGCACCGGTGTTCCGCATGAGTTAGGAAGTCCTTGTGGTTGGATTATGGGTAAAGTGCAAGGAATTGCTTGACCACCGGACGAAGGGCTCGGGATTACTTGATCTACGGTCGTGACCATTTGTCCCTGGGCCAGATCTCGAAGCCTTCCAAGCACATCGTTCCTCCCATGGAGACGAATCTCTTTATCGATCTCGATACATTCTTCAATTGTTGGGTACACATTGTGAGCCGGGATTTGGGAATCGTACATTTCAACGTATCCATGCTTAACATCCCTTCTGTCGTGGAGAAATTTAGAAGCGCCTGGAATAAATAGTTAAGTTGACACTTTCACTGGTATTCGTCATTTGGCAAGATGTTTTCGTAACAATTTAAAAGTAGATGTTAACAAACTTACGATAAATTGCTAACATCTGCACCGGGCAGAGGGATTCGACTCCTGTAAAGGACTCCATGATTTCTACAGTGTCACAAAATTGTATCCTGATGAGGGTACTGGACAATTTTGCGGCTATTTTTGCAATCGAGGTGGACCCACATTTAAAGGCGGCTGTCCAACGTTCCTGACTAAATTGTATGGAATCCTGGGACATATTTAACATAAGTTTTTGCATTTTAGAACAATGGAACTTTAAAAAAAATAATAATTTTTGGTTTTTTTAAATTATACCACGATTTGATCCGTATTTTGCGTGATTGTGCTTTTCGTCAAAGCAGCAGCTATTTGGGCCGTGTCCATTTTCATGTCGGCTAAATTGCCAGAATTTCTCACCGCGTTGACACATTTTCTGAACATTTGGTCATACTTGGTCTCCTCTCTGGACACGTTGACAAGCAGCTCATTGTAATTCTCAGGAATATTGCAATTGTCCCAAAAACCTCCAACGATGATGTCCATTCTATCATTGAGTTCACAAGATTGAGAAGGCGTATCATGTTCAAAGCGAGGGTCGAAATTCCTGAGCACGGAAGCAATATCGGAGGTCGTTTTATCGTCCAAAAGTGGAAATTGTATCATAATTTTGTCGAAGGTGGACGGAAATGACCACGGATTAATGTTAGAGTTAGGAATAAACTTGGACATCATGAAAACTACAGCTCCTGAAATTGGAAAAAAATTTAATTTAGGATTCATAAAGAGTTATTATTTTTGCTTACAATATGCTCCAAAAAATTTGAGCATGTAAAGTTTTCAAAGAATTTTTCGTGCAAATTAAATTAATATTTTTCGCACAAATTAGAATTATGCTATGAATGAACACCATAAAGTTTAGGGAAATATTTGCCTTAAAAATATTTGCTTTTGAAAATCATTTTTAAGTGTGACGCAAATTCACAAATGTTTATAAAGCCTTAGATTTACTATTGTCTTAATATTCCCAGCATTTTTCTTGACTCAGTGTTTGAACCCACTTTTTTACCACGTTATTTTCGTAATCGCCCACTCAAACACTTTTCCCCTTGGCACACCTAAATGTGCATGTTTGCGTGTAATATGTGAGGCAGCTGTGCTCCCGTGTACAATTGCGTCACAAAAGTATTTTACGGGGTGAGATGAGAATTGTCATAGAAATAAAGTTTAAACACTGAGTCAAGTTAAATGCGTATGATATTACTTTCAATAATTTTGACAGTGTTGCATTTCGCGGTCGTGTCATTGCTTATAATCCGAAGACATTCAGTGTGAACTATTGACTTCATCACAAACTTGGTGGTAGAGTCGAGGTCACGTTGGTTAAAAGCGGTTGCCCAGGCTACAGGTTGAATTTTAATCTCGAATACGCCTTTGTAATTAGCCAACTCGTTTGGGATCTATTGGATTACACAAGTATTTTTACATGAGTAAAGTTACTTAAATATTTAAAAAATTAAGCATGTAGTACAGATCTAATGCGAAAACTAAACTTTTTTAAATGTTAAGCCTACATCCCTAAGTTTTAGAAACAAATAAAATTGGGACCTCTAATATTATACTAGAATATCTTAAAAAAATGTTGGAAAATTTAAAAATTAAATAAAATCCCACCTGCGTAATGACAAGGTCATAATTAAGAAAAGGCTGGTAATAAATAACATGTTCCGTTCCAGTTTTTTTCGTCAATGAACTTTCAGGTTCTGTCCGAATAAAATATTTCCTTGATTCACCAATCTCTGCATGGAAATTTTGTTCCATGAATTTCTGCGTTATGGAAACTTCACGAGGGCGTTTCTTTCCTCTGGTTGTAGGCATTATTCTTTTTTCTGTAGAAGACGAAAGAAATTATTTATTATTACTTACTGTCGTAAAAAAATAATCCACTCGAAACAAATCTTCTAATAAAAAAAGTACTGGTTGTTTTTACATGAAAATTTGCACTCTTCAAGTTTATCTGTATTTTTCACACACTAAAAATAAATAATTGCTTACCTTGCAAAAAATTATTTTAATAAAAATTTTCTTCTAGAATGGAAAAAATTTCCCAAAACGAATAATTTATTTCTGGAGGATGTTCACAACTTCACCAACATGTTCCTAGTTACTCTGCACACCAGCTCATCTCACCATTCGATGCAAAGATAATTTGACAAGCCAACGTTTATATACGTATGCACAAATTCAGAGTTGTAACGACTCGTATAAATAATTGGGGACGGAACCTGGCTAATTTACTTCACGTGATGAATATACACAATGACTTTATTTATTGGAGACATATATATGTGCAAAATATATACATGGGGGATTCAGACAAAATAATTTACTAAACACAAGTGGAACAGGATTACCCTACCAGGATAGGATTCGCAACTTACACTCTGCAAATACATACGTACATTGCAATTTGGAGCAACATTGACGTACACGAGTTGAACTATGGTGGCTATAACTTACCGAAGACTGGAATATGTTTATCGGCAGGATGAACACTGATCCCACTTGTTTTATATTGAGGTGATGATTCATTCAACTCATGAAGGCTTTCCAACCTTCGTGAATGGTTTTCATGAACATTTGCCAAAATCCGTGCCACTTTTGGGGAAGTGTTCATTTGACATGAAATATTTTTTTATTAGGTACTTACTACATGGTTCCTTTAAGAGGCAGACTGTAGATAATTACATTAATTTGTATAATATAAATTTCAGACTCGTAAATGCATTACAATTTTTAGTAATAATGGTATATCGATAATAAATGCATATACACATGTTGGTAACTTTTACTATCAATTGATAAAGTATGGAAAAAATGAATACCTAAATTTTTCTCATCATATAGTCAGATTGTTTACCTTTTTGCAGACACGGATACGTCGCGAGTCAGTATTATGTATTTGATTAGTTGACTATGTATTCGCAGTGGATTCAAGAATATGCATATATTTCGATGTGTTTGTGGCAACGAAGGTGGAGAAATTAATGGAACTCGTTTTATTTAGCGTAAAGTAAATGTTCGTATAGATTATTGCTATAACTGTGAAACGAGTACAATCTACCTCGTGAAAATTGCATACAAACTAAAAAAAATTGTACAAATTTTGCCCAACCTTGCGCAATATTTTGATCAACCCTGAGGAAAAAAGTGATGGAAACAAGTCTTGTACAAATTTTGTACAAGCCAGTTGAGTGATTTGTTTTGTTCAATGTTGAGTAAATTTTGTACAACTAAATTGATCAAATTTTGCCCAAGTACTTTCTAATCCTCCTCAAATGCTTGATTAAATTTTCCACAACTTCTGGAGATGTTTTATGCAATAATTTGTACACATTTTTTACAACATTTGGCCAAATATTTTTTAGTATATTTATTTAAATTCAAATAAAATATTTAATTGCACACAAATTAACACACACCTATTGAAGAAGCTAAAATTGTAACTAAAATAAATATACAGACATAACAATAAATTAACCTCAAATAAGTTAGATCACAGTTCCACACCTATTATTATTTTTACGTTTGACTTAATTAATTTTTGCCCTATCGCGACGACGGGGTAGGTTATATCTGATTGTTTTGCAATGTATATAATTGCAATTATTTTAAATGTGCAATAACGAATTACAGCAGAAAGAAATGATTTGCAAATGTTATGCAAATTTAATTCGTAAATAAAATTCAGTTTCGCACTACTCACAATTTTAAAAATTTTCTAACAATGTCCGCCACCGGGTTTGGTTTATCCAAATGGAAATGATGATAACCTTCGGTGTTATGTCGTTCTATATTTTCACGACCTAAACTATCTTCTAAAAATTTAAAAAACTGTTGACTTTCTTCATCCGTTTCGAAAACGTTGCCCGAACTTGCTTTAATGAAACAGATCGGTGACTTTATAAAGGTCGAGAGTTCTTTTAAATGTGAAACGACGATTTTAAATGTGATGGTGAAACGACCTTCTTGACCTGGGATGAGGGTCCGGAGGTTGTGGGAATATTGATACCTGTAGTTTAAAAAAATTAAGTAAATGTCAGTTTAAAATTGTTAGCAAAGCACAGATTTTTAAATTACGTACAAATCACTTTCTCCTGGAATAGGAACTGCCCCCCTTTTCAACAAAGTTCTACATCCTTCCAACGACACGGGATTTTGTCGTTGTCGCCCCTCATAAAATTTTTGCACCAATTCATCAAATTCTATCCCTTTTCTAGGAACTTGGTCCCTTTCTTCGACTTTAAAGACAAGGTCAAGCGACGATTTTAAGACTGGGATGAGTGGATAATGTTGAATCCGGATATTTTCGAGGGCGACGAATTTATGGACAAAACTAAAATTGCATAAAAATCCCAATTTAGATTAGTGTGTTTCATCAAAATATTTAATGTGTAAAAAAAATATAGAAAAATTTCGAGACTCACTCAGGATGAAGAATATGACGTAATGACGTAAAAATGAAATCTATAATCCCCCCCCCCATAAAACTCTCCTGTCATACCAGGTCTGTGGACAATACGTCGTTAATCCGTGACCGGGGAGGTCTAAAGCAAAAAATGTAGTGGGCGGCGAATCTGGCGACGTCAAGAGGGGGATGAGGTTATCGAAAGATCCGGCATTATCAAGCCATCCGTGGACACATTATTGGGGGGGGGGTGTGGTTTTGAACTTGAGTTGGTTTTCTGACCGGCAGAAGAAGATTCCCATAATTTTCCTGGAAAATAGATCAAATTTCTTTAGAAAAATGTGCGATCTTATCTTACAGTGTAAATTTAATTAGACTTCTTTACCTTCAATTATTCCACCCCCTGGAACAGGTATTTTAACTTCGGTCACAGAATACTGCGTGACTTATCCATCAGCCTCGTGCCACCAACTGACGATGCGAACAAACATTGGACCCTCGTGCGGGTTAAATCAATGCAAAAGTTGAGGAAGTTTTCCTCAAGTTTGATGAGTAAATTTTGTCCAGGTAGGTTGAACTTTAAATGATCAACTCAGGAGGTAAGGCCCTCTATATGCAATTAAGGACCATGGATGCCCTTTGGATATTTGATAGCTCTAGGTGAATGGTGGATAACCCTAGAATGGTTAGATGCCATGGCCCCATTTCCGCCCGCCACACCCCCTGAAAGATGCAAAAAATGCAAAAAAACGCCTGTTTTCATGTGCTAAAACAGTCGTCAAAAATCCAATTTTGCTCTAAATTTGATAATTTTAGCATATTATTGGTCCTAGATAGTTGCTCTATCATATCCAATAGCAATCTCAACTTTTTTGAAATCTTCGAATTTTCAAGCCATCCCTGCTCAGGAATCATTCGAAAATTTACGAAATTTCAAAAAAGTTGAGATTGCTATTGGATATGATAGAGCAACTATCTAGGACCAATAATATGCTAAAATTATCAAATTTAGAGCAAAATTGGATTTTTGACGACTATTTTAGCACATGAAAACAGGCGTTTTTTTGCATTTTTTGCATCTTTCAGGGGGTGTGGCGGGCGGAAATGGGGCCATGGCATCTAACCATTCTAGGGTTATCCACCATTCACCTAGAGCTATCAAATATCCAAAGGGCATCCATGGTCCTTAATTGCATATAGAGGGCCTCCCCTCCTCAGTTGATGATTATTTGCACAGGGTTCAGTACAAATTATTCAACGTTTGGGGAAAGTTTTTACAATATTGAGTAAAATCCATATAGATAACCTATTGATTGAAATTTGTCAAATATTGTGCAAAATCAAGTTTGTACAACCCGATTGACTATTTTTTAATTTCCATTATAGTAAATTTTAGCCAACGTTGAGCAAAATTCCTCCAATTTGATTTTCCTCAAGTGCTTGTGTACAACAGTTTTTAGTGTGTAGGAAAAAAGCTTAAAAAACGAAATAGAAAATTTACTTGTTTTTATGAATATCTGTACTGGTGTTGGATAAGTTGAAAAGTCTTTTTCTCTAAAACCACATAATGTTTTTACATTAATACAGTTTTGCTAACTAAAATTATAATTACACTCTGTCTCAGAATGAAGAGATAATAATTGAAAATGCTCTCATTTTGTCATGCATTAAGCCAGGGTCCGGAAATTGTGATATATTATAGCTAATTTATTACCAAATATCTCCATAAAGTTTCATTGAATTACGGCTTAAACTGCCTGTGATTTCATCATTTTTCCAAAATTAGTCAAATCTGACTGTCTCAAAAGTAAGAGATAGGGCGTTTTTTGGATAACTTAATTTAATTATCTCACCAAATTACTCTTCCATCCGCCCAGTTATTGACTGGCAATGTCAGTACTGGTCAAGATGCCAACCGGTAAGCCTCTCTCCGAGTACCAATTGGGGCAAATAGACCTCCTCCGTGAGCAGGGAGCGTCACAATCGAGAATTTCTCATTTTCTCGGATGTTCCCAAAGTGCCATCTCGAATTACTTTAATTCGAAAACCCATCAGACACCCGAGACAAGTTCGGTGGGTCGTCCAAAGATCCTCACAGCTCGGGATGAGCGAAAAATTGGACAACTTGCCGCCACAGGGCAGTACTCCGTCCGAGAAATTCAAAGGGAACTCCCCATCAACGTCTCTAAGGACACCATACATCGGTCTCTGACCAACAATACCGACCTGGAGTGGAAGAAAAAGCTCACCCAGCCTCCTCTGACACAGCGCCATAAGGACGCAAGACTCGATTTCGCCAGGACCCACATGTCGTGGGTCCAATTTTGGAAGAATGATGAAATCACAGGAAGTTTAAGCCGTAATTCAATGAAACTTTGTGGACATATTTGGTAATAAATTAGCTATAATATATCACAATTTCCGGACCCTGGCTTAATGCATGGCAAAATGAGAGCATTTTCAATTATTATCTCTTCATTCTGAGACAGAGTGTATAACCTTACATCCAGATATGTTGGGAAATTTCTGAAAAAATTCAAAAACAGATTTGGACTTTGGTTGTCACACCGAACTTTAAGCCTAAGAGATAAGTATTTGAAATATGCCTCGATTGTTCAAGTAGTAAATTAAAATCTTCATAATTGCAGGTATTTATTTACATATTACGATTTAATAGTTTTTTCTAATCACCAAAACTTTTCAGTGAGAAATTTACAAATGTTGGAAAGTGTTTGCTAAGTAGTAAATTTGTGATGCACATAATGTCATTAATTTTATTACTTTAATTCCCCTGCATAAAAGTATATTTTCTCTAGAATACATTCTACCTTATTCAAAGATTTATACTCCAGCAAAACTTATCCCTCCCGAGATCCCTCTCGCACCAACATTTTCAGCTTGAAAGACTGCTCCACAATCTTCCCCAATATCCGAAGCGTTTTCATTCGGCATAAAAGCACCTGCGGTAGTAATATATAAAATGTCCAAGTTTTTTCCACCAAACGTCGGACAAGTAGCCCGTTTAGTTGGAACTTTAACACATCCGATCTGCTTGCCTGTGTTCGGATCAACTTTTATTAGCTGAAAGTGAGCGCGTAGTTCAAATTTTTTAATATTCTTTTCATTAATATAATACAAATCTCAATTTACCCCGTCCCCGCTAAACATGGCAATCCACAAATTCCCATCAGAGTCTGCCGTCATACCGTCCGGAACGCCTGAGATGTTTGCTTTACAAAAGTCAAATACGGAACGGCGATTGCCTATAAATAGAATAAAATTGAAATTTCTCCAGTACTACATAATTCATTTAAAAAATTACTTAATTTTCCATCCATAATGTCAAAATCAAACGCGGCTACAACACCAGAATACGAATCATTGTAATACATCGTGCGATTATCGGGCGACCAAGTTAACCCGTTGGAAAAATCAATTTCAGAAATATGTCCCTTCAATTTGGCATCTTTTCCAAGGCTGTACAAAGTTCCTTTTTTCAAGTCAGCTTTCCCAGTTTGGAAACTGTATTGGCCAACCGAACCTAATGGGCGGGTAGTTTAAAATTTATTAAAAAAGTAATTTTATTTAGTTTAGAACAATTAATTTTATTAGAATGAATTGGATGCCTAACTTGTAAATCAATTGATTAATTATCACCTAGTAAATATTGAACTATTAAGTACCTGTCCAAAATCTTCCAGATGCGTCACATTTTCCATCATTAAGCCAATTTGTGGGATTATCATTATCAACGGTATTCAGAGTTTTGAAGCTTTCCGCCGTCTCAGATTTCCCATCCCACTCCATTATTTGAATACTTCTGCCAACACTGACCAAATATTTGTTGGGGTCATCTTTCACAGGAATAATGACGGGAACCCAGGCCTCATCTGTATTTAAATTTATAATTTCTTATACATACTTGCAAAAATTAACGATTTACAGTATTTTAAATATCTCACCAATCTTAAGGTGATAGCATTCCCCAGATTCTGGCACATATCGATAAACCTTCTGCCCAGTTAAATCCACGTAGAGAAGTTCTTCTTTTTCAGCATCCCAATGCACCCCTTCGCCAAGACCTTGGGGACATTTTATGGAACCGGGGACAACCTTGAGAGAATAATCCATCCTGCGCTGTAAACGTTTTTACAATGATTGATTTCGTGGCTCGCTTAACGCTTTTATGTAGTGGCTCATGCCTTTAGCACATGTTTATTTGGATGGCAACAGGCTTGTGTGCCTCAAGTGGGTGATATACTTATACATGCATTCTATTTACTCCCGGTACATACATAGTAAAGTATAGAGTGTAGTGTAGTGATACATAGTAGTGTGTCGCCGAAGTTGCTACGAAAGAAAATAATTAATGTCGTCCCCATGCAAGTAATGTTTGACCAAGATAAAACAAACTTAAGTTAATGCAACATATTTTTTATAGAATGGTGATGCTGTGTTGCTATGTTTTGTTAAGAATTAAGAATCCAGTATTTAATAGGACATGTTTGTTTGCTCTTTGTGGAGCCCTGGTAAATCCTCACGATTAAATTAATTGCCCACGATAAAAAATACGTGACCAGTGCGAGTCAAGGATATTTCGCGAATGTACAGTCAAGAGCAAAAGTCACGAGCACGAACTCTACTTGAAATTTAAATCTCAATTTCGCAAAAACTATCCGGGATTTTAAAATAATTTCAGGCTAATATTGTGAGGAAATTAATTGGCAACAAAATGCATAAAAGGTAAAATCAACAAATTATTACTACCATCACAGTAAATCGACAATCGAAAAAACTCTCGAAATAGGCGAGCAAAAGTCACGAGCATGAATAATTAAAGCCCAGCTACTTTTAAAATCTAATTTTGTGAGTCGTTATTTTATACATTTTTGACAATTACATGTTTGTACGTATCCTATTATGTTCAACTTTAAGGATAATAGAAAATTTCAACAAAACGAAAGCGGATACCAGTAGACATTTCGGATCTCATCGTTCAGCGGTATGAAGATGTCGATAACGGTCCAAGAACTCACCATCAAAATGTCGAGTTAATTAAACAAAGTTGCTCTACTGTCGGGGCTATCATTAGGAAGTACAAAAGCACAGGGTCGATTGAAATAAAAAAAACGCCAGGGAAGTATACAAATATTGACAGCAAAAGAGAAGAAAGCAATTGTCAGATAGGCCCTTATCAATTCAAAATTATCAACCCCAACAATTTCTGATCATATCAAAATTGAGCTTAGGAAGGTAGCCTGCAGTTTTACAATAGCTAGAGTGCTGAAAAAAGCGGCTTAGAAAACTACGGAGCTATGAGGAAACCATACATATAATAAGTAAATCAGAAAAAAAGTCTTGCGTTTGATCTGGAGCATATCGACAAGAATCAAAATTTCTGGGATTAAATTTTGGTCAGGTTAGTGTAAATTAAACCTTTCTGGATCAGATGGACGTGCGAGTATGGCGTAAAAACAATAGGACCCTTAAAATTGAAGAATCTCAACCCTAGCGTAAACATGGAGGGCGAGGCGTAATGCTATGGGGTTATACCAAGGTCTAATAAACAGAAATGTAACAGAATCTGCAGCAAAACTTGGCCTGGGCCGATGGTACATGTTCCAACAGGATCGCGACCCCATGCACAATACCTTTGGCACCTGGGATTTTTTTGAAAATAACAATATTAAAGCTTTGGAATAGTCCCCTCAGTCTCCAGATCACAATCCCACAGACCAATTGTTGGATCACTATGAAAAAGATTTTAGAAATCATAAGATTTCGAATCAAAAAGAACTCCAAGAAAGGTTCTCAAGTGCGTTCGATACCGTAGGAGTAGATGTGACCAAAACCTTGGTTGATTCCATGAAACACCGGTCCCAAGCAATGATATTAGATAATGGAGGCCCAATAAGTTATTAAATTTTGTTTTACTCATTGAACCTTGGAAATTCGAAGAATGAAAACAATATTTCCGAACTATGCTCGTGACTTTTGCTCGCCTGTTTCCTTAGTTTGTTCGATTATCAATTTACTGTGATGGTAATAATAATTTGTTGATTTTCCTTTTTACGTGTTTTGTTGCCAATTAATTTCCACACAATATGAGCCCGAAATTATTTTGAAATCCCGGATAGTTTTTGAGAAATTAAGATTTAAATTTCAAGAAGAGTTCGTGCTCGTGACTTTTGCTCTTGACTGTATGTACTGTATTTATGTACAGGGCTTTATGTGTGAGCCATATAAGAACGGACTAATTTTCACCCTATAAACTTCATCTGCCCGTTAAACTCTGCTTAAAACGTTTTAGTAAAACTCTTTTATTCACTTCATAGCATTTAAGCATGTCATTAAAAGATATCCTCGCCTGATACGGATTTGCAATGTTTAAAATCACTACGCAAGTATATTCAATAGATGGACATGTATCATTGCATACGGATAAACCTTGTTTCATCAATACAGAAGAATTGTATTTTCTTATTTTCAAAACTAATGACAGGATAACTTGGATTTTTTGCTGTATTTTTTCCCAATAATATTTATTAGCAAGTAAATAATATCTGTGAAACAAATCTGTAGTATTAAGATTAAAAAGAGGCCGTCAGTTTTTAACCAAAAATGCAAAATAATTAGTTATTGGAATTTAATGTATTTAATATATTAAGTAATAAAAGGTTATTTACTTTTATTACATCTTAGATGACTAAGTAAATATTTTTCGCTGAATTATAGCTTCAAACAAATTCTCCTGCTTTTTCCCTTTTCCTGTGCAGAAGTAGTATAAAGATGGCAAAGAAATATCCTCCCACGGATATCAAAGAGGTTCCCCACCCCCAATCAATCTCAGTGTATGAATCCGGCCACAAATCCGTTGCTGGGATGAGAACCACCACAATTAAAGCTATTGAAAGGAATAGTTGAAATATTATGTAGCCGAGGTACGCATGGTGTCGTTTTGTCATCTAAAAAAACATCGCAAAAATTAAATAATTATTTTAGGATAAAAAATCCCCAATTATTTTTTGTCCGTTTGTTTTATGCATTACAAGGTTATAAACTCATTGTGGATTGTTACAGCAATTTAATTTGCAATCGAGATTTTCCATATAAAAAATAACAAAGGAAGTGAGTGAGAAAAGTTTTGCTGTTACCCTTCATCGATATTTTAACTCACAAAATCATTAGTTTAAAAAATAATTATGTCCACAACTTACATTTTTCCGTAAAATTAAGCACACAACCAATAGCGTCAAAGTTAATCCTATTTGTGAAGCCGCAATTCCAATCGCTGCACCACTATACTTTTCCACCTTATCGAACCATTTGCACCACCAAGAACTCCACATGTAACGAGGCGTCGTGGCGGATCCTGGCCAACTATTGCAGATAGAGTTGGACACATGGTCATGTGATAGGACATTAAAGACAATTGCGGCTGCACTGAAACACTGCGAATTAAAAAAAAAATGATTGCCCAAACAGTTGTGAAGAGATGAGAAGTATTTTATTCTTAGCGTACGATAGTTGCGAGTAGAACAAATCCTACAAAAAATGTGATTTTTTTCATTGTAGAGGAAATATTTGGAAAGGAGGAAATGTATTATTATTTAATGTTATGTTTAAGGAAAATAACTATTAACTGACTAATCTGGGTGACCAGTTGCGTATGTGGTCGCTTATCAGTTTAACGGTATGGCTAAGCGACCATATATATGATTTGTAAGTAATTTATCCCCTTATCTGTAAACTAAATGAATAACGGTTGGAGGAGATAAGGAAATGAGATGTGTAATATGATACATATCAATCATGCCTTTGTACGATAAAGTAGTGTAAGTTTTATAATGTTCCATATTATGGGATATGATATTTATTATATCAAGGCGATACACCCATACGTTTAGCATACAAGTGTACTCATGTCTAAAACGGTGTATATTGCTAGGTTGCAAAATATGTAGTTCGAAATTTACGTCATATGGGCAGCTTGCCCAAAAGTTTGCTGAAAGTCGAACTTATTTTGGCAACATTATCCAACAAATGGGTATGAATGTACGGGTCGACTTATTTTCCAAAAGTTTATCGTGATTCCATTTATGTAGGATTTGATTTTTGCATGAAAATTATTGTCTTTTCCGTATCTTTTAACACAGCGTACATATGTCTGAGGTGTTTGACATAGAACATAAAAATGTTATCATGTCGGGAATGCAGATAACATCTCAAACACAAGATTTTGTTGATTTGTCCTATTTACCTGTTTTGTATGAAGACCTTAGTTCAAGTATGGGTAATCTACTTACATATGTAAATATAGATATTTTATCAGGTTTTTGATAATCCTGCACATCCGACCTTATAAAACACTAGCGAATAAGCCCGTCTAACGCCGGTCTTACTTAGTTGTAATTTACGAAAGTATTGCGAATGAATATCTTTGACCTGCTTTATGCATTCTGTCATAACCTTCAACCGTTACTCAAACCCACGTTGCCCCTCCTTTACACAACCCCTAACTTAGTCCTTCCATGAAGGGAAGGGAAGCCGTTCCCTATCCCTTCCCATTTCCCATGACCTAATCCATACTTAGTCCATCCACGAAGGGAAGTGAAGCCGTTCCCCTTCCCGTCATAACCAAAATGAAGCCACCCCCTAAAACAAAGTCACCCAACCACGCCCCCTACTACCCCTCCCAAGCCCCACTTACCGCCTAACCGCCTAACCCCCACTTCCCCCTGCCCCCACTACCCCTTAACCCCCACTACTCACTAACCCCCACAACCCTCCGGAATATACAACCCTGATACGGGGGGGTGTATCGAGTATCTGGCACACCCTTCCCTTTCCTGTCATACAAAGCTAACCGCAAAATAATAGCTCGAGGCACACCCACATGTTCCCGGAGTCGCCAGGATAACCCAAGTGGATAAGTTCCCGTGAACCCCCTTCCCTTCGTGATGACCTAACCAACAAACATTCTCAACAGACTTATCGACTTTCCCCCTACTTATCCACATTTACTTTTTTTCTTAAGGTCTCCACTTTCTCTACTTTCATTTCCGTTTCGGAAAATTGCTTTCACTTCCGTAACCAACAGAGATTCTGAATTATAATATAGATACAGTAGCTCAAATAACTGATTCGATGAAATATGCTGCATTATATCAGTGACTGTCCGAGGTTAAGCACAATTTAATAAGTTATAATAATAACTTCCAAATAAGATGTCCGGGGTAATTTAATTTAATAGTCTAGGGGCATTAACATATTAATCCAAATTAATAAACAGCATATTTTATGTAATATATTTCAGGCGACAAATACCGAGATTCAAATCATTTTCAAAAGGTTTGGCTCAATCGTGCCACATTTACCCGTACCTAGGGGAGAGATTACAGCCAGCGTTGAGAGCAAATGGATGGATGTCATGCGAGAAAATGGGATCGAGTTTAACCCTAAGGTCCATTCGTTGATCAAAAGCGCTAGCAAAACGCCGTCTTGTTAAATGCAAACGACAAAATATTAATATTTCACGCTATGTTTCGAAAAAATCAGAGTAGATACGTGGTCAACATTAAGGCTAAGAAGGATGCACCGGCTGTACGTGAGTCGCGAAGTGGGAGAAGCACAAGAATCCGGGAAGACGCTGCAGCGGTTAATTTGACTGAAACGGAACAGCCCTTAACAGCCCAACGGAATTTGATCGCAGAGGACGCAGAAACCGTGATTGTTCCAAGAAAAAATACAGCTAGTGAAGAAGCCCAGCCACTTTTTGGGCAAATTGCTACATCCTCAACTTCCATCAGAAGGCCCGCGTTTTTACCAGGGGATGAAACCACCAACCAGGGTAATGTGATTAAAGAGGGAGAAGTTCAAGTTAGTGGACTTGTAAGGGCGGGATTTGCACGAATTAGCAACAGGGATGTGAGCTAAAAATGTCATTGTTTATGATTTAACTTTTAACTATTATTTATTTAGATGCTGGACATTTGGAAGGAGGTTAGGACGGTAAGGGATATGGAAAAATTTAGCGCGATAACTCGACTCATGCCGTTCACTGCTGGAACCATACGATCCGTATTTTTAGATGGGTTGCAGAGTTTAGAGAAAGATGATATCCAAAAATAATTAAAACATTTTGATGAAAAGGTTCATATGGTATTTAAAATTTTGGTGTAAATTATACATACATACATACATACATAGGTTGTCACTTATATAAGTAATATCTTATTAATATTGTCCCTTAGTAAATTTCAGCTCAGATAATTAAAAAATTAATTTGTTCATTTAAATAGCAAATGTAAACTAAAATTGGAATGTTTGTTCAGCCCTGTGGATTAAATTTTTTTCAGCGTTCGTCGACATTGTATAAGGAATATGAAATTGGCAAAAATGTTTGCTGATAAAGTGTTATTTTGTAAATTATCCCAGAATAATTAAACATTAAGTTATCGGTGAGGTCAGTAAATATTTATTTAATTGGTTTCTGTTTGCTAATTTAAAATAAATTTCCTTATCCTATACAACTTCTGCTTCAAAATCAAGAAATTCATATTTAATTACTTCGGTGCGATTTCTATGGAATAGTTCCATCTTGAAATTGCAGCAGCTAGGCAGACAAGAAATATTGAGAATCCTTGCAATCGACCTGAAGCTGTTGGCGGGCCGAAGCAAACGTTCAGAAACATTCCAGTGCAATAAATCGCTGCCAGAATGCATTGTAACTTTAAAATGCCAACCCTTCCGATGGATTTTGTTTTTTGAGGCGTCTTGAATTTTTGTCAAGTCCGAACGGAATGCAGTTCAGCTGTTGACAGATTTTCATATAAAAATCTTTACGAGTGGACGAAGAGAGGATAAATGTTTGAATGCCTATGTATTAGATTTACTTAAATATTTGTCTACACTCACAGAAACCAACGATTGGCAGTCACATTGGCTAAAGTCAATTTGGCTAAGTCATTTTGGCTAAATTGGAAGTCACTTTGGCTAAGGGGTGGAGTCGATATGGCTAAGAGGTAAAGTCAGTTTGGATTAGTACAAGAACGAGCAATTGTATACATTTCATGGTATAATCCATGAAAAACTTAATCAGTAGACGATGAAAAACGCATAGATCAGGAATTCCCTCGTCTAATAAAGACAATCCTTCCCAATAAAGCGAAAGCAATGCTACTTAAAGGTGTTAGCCATATTGACTTTGGCACAAATTTTTGGAAAATTTTCACAAAATTTTTCCCTTAGCCAAATTGACTTTAGCCAATGTGGCACCGTACCAAACCAACGCAGGCGAAGGTTATAAAGTATTCCGGGTTGATTAATTTATTGAATTATTTGGATACTTAATTTAAAAGGTTCGCAAACGAGGTGTAGTTAAAATCCAAAGCTGACACCTGTATGAAAACGAGTTGAATATTTATACGGCATAGATACATATTTATTTAGCTAAAATAATGACCTTGCCGAAACCGCCTTCTTTGAGTTCGTATGCTCCATTCTTTAATTTTCAGTCTTCAGATAACAAAATATTCGACGTTTTCGGCTGTTATGTCAATCTCACTACCTTCATCGTCTGCTCCTTTTACGTTGATACTGTGCATAAATTACCGGACGACACATAGAGTACTCATGCTTGGGTTGAAGTTGTATGTTCCTTGGTTTAGTTCATATGGCAATAAGGATTGCGATGACCATCTCGGTAAATTTCTTTGGACAAATCTACGCGTTTGCCGGGGAAAATTGGTCGGGAAACCGGGAAAGGACACAAATAACCCTAGGTTAGGGGACCCAGGCAAACGGAGGGCGACCTAGGGGACCAGACTGACCGAAAAAATCGAATTCTAAAAATTTGTCCCTAAAAAAAAAGGTCTGACAAAAAAATTTGGAAACCCGGGAAATCTCCCGACCTAGGGTTACCTAAACATTCCCGTTTGCCGGGAAATTTTCAGAAATCGCACCCACGATCTACACAGCTACAATCGATCACTTGGAATAACTGAATATTTGTTTTAAATATTTAAGCGATTTGCCAAAATCAACACATCAAAACAAGCTTTATGTATAAATTGTTTTCCTCGTGACAGCACTTCAACTCAAGATAAACAGCCGACCATTCTTGCGGCAAGATTATAAACGCAAACAAAATTCGTTACTAAAGCTCATTTAAATAAGTGGAAAGAAATCAATTTTGTTAGATAATGTACATCTTTATTTAAACTTTAACAAATCCTCTTGCTACTTCATTTCTTGGGTGCAGAATGAACAGCAATGCCATAATAGGAAATACATATCCCCTATGTATGTAAACTAACAATATTGACGACTCCCAAACGATCTCAGGCATGACTGTACTAAAGATAAGAGTAAGAACCACTGCAAGATAAGGTTTATGCTTACATTGATAAACAAGATCTTGCTATTGTAAGAAAACTTGAATAAACAAAGGAAGTATATGAGATTCAAAACTGATTTGCAATAAATGTAACCTTTCTCTTAGAAAAAAATGGTCAATGATTCATGGGATGGGCAAATTTTAGTTAATATACATAACTAAACAAACCTGCTTATAAGTATTCACAGATCATTTAATTTTGTATTTACCCTAATTGATCAAACATAATGATACGGTTTGATGTATACAGAAATTTTGCATTACCAATGGTGTCCCTTTGTCTATGAAATTTGACCCAAACTTGATTTTCAGAAGACCACATGCTCTCAATTTTTTAAACAAGGGTGCTCTTTTCCCAACCTGAAGTCCAACAATTTTTTGCTTGATGGAATATAGTATCCGTTCTGATGCAGTGTTCACCTTAGATGCCAAAGTGATTATGAGAATGTTGTTTATTCCAGCACTAACCGCCATAATAGGGAAAATTGCGAATCCAGGGAGAGAAATTTCCTCATGCATTCTGATGCACACGAATAGCGCGGATATTTGAATTGCTGGAATACAGGATATTAACATGGGAACTATTCGCTCCGCAACGAATGCATTGAAGGATTTTTCCAAGATTTGAACGTATCGGTAGAGTTTGATACAGGTCGTGATGTCGGTGTAGGTTTCGATTTTAGAGAGCTCCCTAAGTATACAAAGATTTAGATGTAATATTTGTAGGACTAAATTACAGCAAAATGCAAATAATTCGCAGTCAACCTAGTAAAAAAAATAAAAAGTAGAGTTGGAATTATCTATACATATTAAGGAAGTATTAGATAGATGTATGTAACAACTCATCAAGAAATGTAACTCATATTTAATTAAGTAAAATATGGCAAATACTAGTTCCTACTATTTCTTACTATCTTTTTCTATTACCTCAATTACCTGTTAAGATGTTGGAAGTGATGGAGCAAGAATCCTATTCCGACAAGGAGAACATATATAACCCACGTAGTCCCAGAATATTTGATATGATAGTCCATCCAAGTTTCGAACAGGTGCACGCCAAGTTCTATTCCGTAAGGTATCCCTGAGCCACCACAATTTGCAAACATTGACAAGATGAATGGGGGCATGCAGGGGAGAAATCGTAAGAGAAGAAATACCAGAATCGGGTATGCGAATAAACCAATTTCAATTAAGACTATAAAAACCCAGATTGCTTTGGTTCCTTTAGAGTTTGGTATTTTTGGTAGATCTGCAAATAAATTATCGAGTACGTGGGGAATTAATTACTCCGCCAATTATGTAATCAAAAATCTTGTATTATAACGGAATTTCAATTCTGCCATTAAATTATTTGTCTGAATACTCATATAATTTTGCATTTTAATTTATTGAACTAGCTTTACCTACTAGTTCAACTACACATTTCCCAGAATATTTTGGGAAGGTACGTTCTTAATTTAGAAAATCTTTACAAAAGCTCACTTACTTTCCATAATCTTTTCTTCGAAATCCAGAAATGCATTAATTGTTTGAATCGGAGCGATATCAATTGAGTAGTTCCATCTAGGAATTGCCGCAAATAGTGAAGAAATCAGGATGGCGAGTCCTTGCAAACGTCCCGATATTGTTAAGGGGCCGATGAAAATGTTTAGAATCATTGCCGTGCAATAGATGGCTGTCAGGAGACATTGGAATTTGAAGAAACGAATTACGCTAATTGACTTAGATTTTATGAATCGTCCTGATTTGTCATCAAATTCAAATGGGATGCATTTGAACAGATGACAAATTCTGAAACGATATCTGAGAAGGGGAAGGAACTCTTTTTTAAACATTTTTCTAGGTATTAGCTATTATGGTGCTGGTAACGTAATGATCTACGTGGTTAGGTAGTTTGCAATATTTAAAGAACTTCTTGGCTCGAAGTGACGTGGACTTTCATGCATAATAAGGTTGCGTAAATTAATCAATTATTGTGTTGAATTATTTAAATATTGAACTTACAAGGGAAAACTGCAAAGTGATATTCAATTTCAGGGTTTCCAATGTTTTAAAAGTAAATACCGCAAACAAATTTTGGAACCCACTAAACGTATACCTGTGACGAAATATGTTTCACATGATACAACAGAAAATTTTAGCATGGCTGCAAACTGCGACTCTGAAAAATAGGAAACACTGCCGATTGAATCAGAAGTATTTATATGTTCATCTCTTCATACAAAAATATTTAGTACATAAATGGCTAAAACTTTAACCGTTTTCCCCTCCACATCACCGTTTGTCAAAGACATACTGTTCTGAACAATATTTTCTTAAAATATTTGATTGCATATTTATTAAATTTTTATATTTTCTTGAAATTTTCAGAGAATTTGAGCTGCACATTATACTGTCTAGCTCATTTAAATACACTCCGCAGTCGTATTTATAGAATATTGGTGGTATAAAATTCCGGATTTGAGCACAACCGAGGATGGATCCCTTGTATAATTGTCCTGCATATTTTCCAGTTTACTAGTTTAGGCATAAGCATATCGTCGTACTAATAAAGAAAAGAGTTAAGTGCAGTCGATGCTTAATAAAGAAAAGAGTTAAGGGCACACAAAAAGCGATGAAAAAGAGCTAAGTGCACACATGTATTTAGTTATGCATAATATTTACTAAATACTGCGATCCATAGCTAAATACATGTGTGCACTTAGCTCTTTTTCATCGCTTTTTGTGTGCACTTAACTCTATTATTTATTAAGTATCGACCGCACTTAACTCTTTTCTTTATTAGTACGACGATATGCAAATATTCCTTTAACAAAATCAACAACAAAATCACACATACATAATATTTAAATAGATCACGTTATGCGAATTTATTAGTTTAATCCTGATAGGAAATGAACTTGAGTAAACAGACAAGCCAAATTCGGTAGCTGGTATTGTCCAGCTTAATGGTAAATTTAATATTTACTCGCCACGTTAATATATAAGTTCGTTAGTTTTTATAATTGAGCATACATACGTCGTCATTACTAACCTACATAGTGTGCTAGTATTGAAATTCCATTCCCTCATTACATAGTTTTCGAGAATTCGACAAACATGGAAATATTAACACGCCTCATAGTCATATATACACTTATTTATCACTGTAACTCATTCGCATAACCATCGCCATGCAAAGGTCACAACATGTTATAACTCAAAGGTTAGGATATCATACAAAGATATATCGGCCAATTATGGACATCATCGTACAGATTTATTGCACACAAGATAACTACATATGTACATTTAACTACAAGCTCTGCGAACACATTACTTTACTCAATTGAATAAACTACTACATACATGATTTGCATGTTCATTAAGTGTTTCGTATGTTATGCTTTTTTTTCTAATGGACATCACACTGTGTTTAATCTTGTGGACCCGAGTTTCTTCGTCAAGAAGTGTTAAACTTGAGCAAAACAGATGCCCAAGGTTTTAGTTGGATCATTGCCATAAAATTAATTCCTACTTCCCATTTACTCGCTCATGCCGCGTTACATATACATATGTAGATGTATGTATGCATATTCAGAAAGTCAGTCAAACTGATCTGTTTCCTACACTCACATAGTACCCTCTCTCAGCTGGGATCATTTTTAAACAGCGTATACACGTTTTTCACTAAAAGTTTCGGCATGAAATCTCCACGTTGGGAGATATTTACCATCACACTTTCTTTATTTCTAATTAATTCAACCCCCACATTTTCCCATGGGTTTAAAAAGAATTCGAAAATCATCGAAATTATGAAAGGCTCCTTGATCAATTGGATACCAGGATACTTAGGACCCTATCCATACGACGTGTCGAAATGCAACTCTGAAATTCACGACGCCCCAGGTGGAGATATCGTAAGGGTTACTTCGAACGACAATTGTATCAATATCTACCCCCAAGTTAATTGTACGGGATGGTTCATTCGGTTTAACTATGGTCGTTACCCATCCTACCAACCTCAAATTTATCCATGGGATGGGGACAAGTTGAGAAATTCTACGCTACAAGTTGGCTCCGTGGGACCTTGTTTTGATAAATGTGACGAAAGAAATTGGCAAGGGGATAGGAAGGAGGTGGTGCAGGTCACGCTTTATGACGATTCGGAGTTTAAAGGTAAGCAAGTATGCTAAGAAGATAAAAATTTAATTAAAGTATTTACTTAATTACCTTGTGATGTCCTGCAAATTTATAAAAACTAGATTTTAATTAAGTCATGATTAATAAATATAGTCAAAATCAGTGTTGGCCGAGCAAAAAGGCAGGCAATGCCTTTTTGCCTGCCTCTTTGCCGTTTTGCCTTATAAAAATTGATGCCGTTTTGCCTTTTTGCCCTTTTGCTCAAACAGGGCATTGTGAAACTGATACTTCATGTTATTGAATTATAATGTTTAATTAAAAAAAAGTTTTTCTTAATTTAAGTTTTCGACGAAAGACAGTAATATTTTGTTAATCTAAATTATACGATGATCATTTCCATATATATGTCCTGACAAAAATCCAATCAAACTCTGTTTTACATGATACTAATTGAAAATTTTCAGATATTTTAGATTTTGTTCAGGGCATACACAAAAATTCCCAGAATTTTGTTGAGAACCCGAATATTGCTTCAGATTTGGAAAATTATCAAAAATGTGGAAGTTTTTATTTTCCAATGTTATAAGTATTCATTTGGGCAAAAAGGCAGGCAAAAGGGCAAAAAGGCACGCAAAAGGGCAATCCGGCATTCAAAAAGGCAAAACGGCAAAAAGGCACGGAAAAAAAGCAAAAAGGCTGCCTTTTTGCCAACACTGGTCAAAATCTGAAACCGTTGATAAATAATGAGATATAGAATTCGAACAGTCCCAAAATTTACTTACTTAATCTTAAAATCAAAAGATGTCTTGTAACATAATCTTGAATTCTAATTACAGGTTTCAGGAAAGAAACAGTTTCTGATTTTTTACAGAATATTTGCATTTAAATTAATCGTACTCATTTCCTCCCTGGGCGGAGCATGCGTTTATAAAAGGCATATACATATTCATCACGCCAGAACTCCAGAACTCCCTTCTAGTGTTTTGTATAAACCGAATTCCTAAAATTTATGATTGAAGATCCAAAAATTAAATAAAAATCAAAAATTGACTGATATCGATTTAAAGAGGACTGAATAAGTAACACAACAAAGTCAAACAAATGCCTGTAAAATCACAATTGCTGTTTGAAATTATCTAATTTTTGCATATGTGTATTATCAAGTATTCACGCCCATAATTTACTTTGTGGTTAAGGATCCTACACCACCGTTGGCCACCAATTTAATTCCTTTCATTACATTTTCGATTAAATTTTTCTTCTCCGTTTTTCCAACTTCCCGACTAATTTTCTTCCACATTCTTTTGAATATTGAAGAAATGCCATTATTATCTTAAAGTGTAGTACATTGAGAGTTGGAAAGCGTTCAAATTTTTTAAATGGGACGCAAATGAAGTACATTTGGTGTGCGTTCAACATTCGTCCTATCTTAATACGGCTTTGTTGAGTGCGGCATTTTTTGGGAAATTTATCTTTTTTTATTATTTTTTCTTCATAATGGACATCTGCAGGGTTGACGCAATGGTAAAAATGCCGTGCTGCAGTATTTGATGCATCAACCGGAACGTACGACTCGTCATCATTGATGACGATTTTTTCACGCATTTTCTTAATCAATGTGGAGCAGCATTCATTGATTCGATTTGCTTGGTCGGGCTTATTATTCATGGTAGGTTTTTTTGTTCTCACTTTGATGCCTAACTTGTGGAGTTTAATTGTACACAAATAGCTAGGGGAAATATTAATTTCCTTAGCAGCTGCAGCTAGGGTTGTGGATGGACGGGTTTCGAAAAAAAATTTAATCCGATTTTTGACTCGAGGGGTCGATCTCTTGATTGGGTGACCATTTAGCTTCTTATAAGTACTGCACATTTTCGGAATCCTTGTACTTTTTTATGTAGGAATACACCCTTGACCTTGAAATCCCTTCTCCTTCAAAATGATGCCAGGTATATTTAGAAACTCTGTTTGCCGTGTTTCTGTAGAACTCGATCACTCTTTTTGCTGACGCCTCCCATTGAATTCGTTTTTATGAGCACCTAACCATGTTCGATACACATGTGTGATATACCGTTCGTAACCTAGTGAATTGGTGTACTTAATTGTGGTTTTTATTTTTAAAAAATTGCCGCCAGTTTTCTCCCTATGCCTCGGGAATGACTTGTTGTCTTACTTATTCAGTGCTCTTTATTTGTTTTTAAAAATAAGCACAATTACCCACAAGCCCTACATTTAAACATTTGGTTGCTGTTTGAGTATACGATAATAAAAAAATAAGGAGACGTATAAAAAACCGTGCTCACTGAATTTTGTCATGTATTGAAAAATATCATAAATCAGTACACTCTAAAATTAAATTTTAAAACACTTAATTTTAATTATGAAACCTATTAATAAGCATAAAGTTATAATTCTGTGTCGATTTGGAACCAAAAATTTGCACCTTATTTCACATATTTTTCTTATATGGCTAATCATCTTCGCCTTCTTGTAACAGGAACCTTCAACAATTCTTGCCTGAGGTAAACTTATTCGTTTTCAAGGGGAAAAGCTACCAATGAATTTATACAAACCTTGAAATCCTTGAAATATAATGCTTCATATTCTCAAACCCAATCTCTTTAACGAAGACAAGAAAAGAAATCAAATGAATTATACCGCACAAAGCGAATATTTCCTTAACCAATTTCAGCGATATAGGATCCGATTCATGCACAGTGGCCGGCCCTCTCGTATTTGACATAGCCCTGAAAAAATATTTCTTGTCGGTTCCATTATCCACTCGGTAGTGCAATTTGATAGGAATATACGTATTTTCCAATTTATTCCATCTGTCCTCCAACCCAAAACTTAACAACTCTCCGAATCGTTGCTGAAATAATGGGAGGAGAAAGTTTTTACTCGCTAGTCCACAATATATCTCTGCAAATGGTGTATCCGCCTTCGCCTGAAGTATTAGATGGTTTCCATACCATTGAAATAGCTTCGAATATGTCTTGACATGCTCAGCATCATCCATAAGTGCAAATGTTTTACTTGTTTCCAGTGATTCATTTTTAGATGTTGAAATCCTTTTTGATATTTTAATACTGTTGAGGTATCGAACCAATATTTCCACTTTATGACTCCCAGTTAAATATATGACTTTCTTGTACAATTTATGGAACTTGTCCACAAGAGTGGGATTATCTTGGAACAAATTTATATATTGTGGAATGAGTCTATTTTTGAGAGCGGATTGAATTAATCTAGATGCAGCGTACGGTACTGTTGTAATAATTGGAATTTCCGAATCCACCAGTGAATACCAAGTAGGCGGAAGTATAGGTGACGAAATTGAACTTAAACACGCAAAAATTAATCCCATATATAAGTTGTTCATAATTATGAAGTGTGCACTAAAAAACCAGACAATAAGTATAGGCACGGCTATACGTTTCCTGTTGTGAAACATTTTAAAACTATCACCATTAACTTGCCCAAGGAGGATTCCACTAACATTTAGGAAATCTTGGATCAGATAATTATCAACTTTTCGTGTGCCTTGATTTTCTGCCACGGAATCTTCCGCACAACCAATAATTAAGGTTATAGCTACACAAGAAAGGACCAGAGTAATCCAAACAACCGGACCGAATGGAGATAAAAATGAAATCAATCCCTCAAATGCTGTAGGTAGTGGAGCAAAATACACAAATTGTACAACGTTATACCTTACTTTGTAGATTACAAGTGCTTGCGTAATGGAGGCAACTGCCTCTGATGTTAAAATATAACTGGGTACGAAATAATAAATGGGTGCCCCCGTATTTCCTTGTACAATTGTAAAATTAAATGCTTGCGAAAGCGACTTCATTGTACAATATTTAAACGGTGGCAAATCTAGCTTAACATTTAACATGGTAATTTCACATTTATCCAAGTTCAGGGGCAAAGAAGCAATAACTTTGACCGGTTTCTGATGAAGATTACGGTTTAATGTTAACCAAACAGTAGCGATGTTAGACATGGAAATCGTTCCCCCAGTCATTTGAATACTAACAGGTGCTATCGAGTCACAAGTAATGCAAGGAATATATACCTGATCGCGAAACTTTTCATTAACTAAGATTAGTGGTGCCGCTAAAGTTCTGGCATGAACGTAGTGCTTATCAAAATTGATCGTATTCCACGGGGAGTCGTGATGTTGGAAGATGAATGAGACATGAGAAAGGTATTTTAGGACTAATTCATGCACGTAAGAGTAACTTGTGATATCGTGAATTGCTTGCTTCAGCGGATCGGAACAAAGGTCAACAAATATGATGGATATTCTTTTTGAGTGGCCGGGTAGTGTGGACCAATGGCGTAGAAGACTGTCCTGGCTTGTTCCGTTAACTTCAAATTGACTCAAGGCTGAGTAGGGGTTTGATTTTCTTATTTGAGTGAAAAATGGCGACACGTTTTCTGTTGAACTTCCCCCACGGATTATAGATTTCTTTGTGATGAATGTAATGTCACAATTTTCAAATAAGTCGGGGGTTTCCCATGGACTGATTTTCGAAGAAATGTTTAATAGGTATGCAGCCGTCAATAATACATTCCGGAGTATTCTAGTCATGTTGAAGCGGGACCCAATACAGACGTATATACATTTAATGCGCGAATACAAACGTTAGTTCCAATCTGCCTAATGAGGTTAGATTGTGATAACCTCGTACTATGTTTCCTAACACACTTCCGTATTTTATAGGTATTTCAACCTTCAAAGTTTTGAGTAATACCTACACTTACGAAAGATCTTTTATCACGTAGATACTCATAAACTGCTCATTATATTGTTGACGAATTAAAGTACGAAAATATATTGCTGGCGAAATATCAATGTCGAATGACAATATTTGTCAGCCTACTGCTAAGAATTTGTTTTCGAAAAACAACAATATTGACCAAGACATTTTATCTGAATGAAACAAGAAAACAATATTGTGAATGGGACGGAAGACAGAAATAAATTAATTATATACCTTCTTCTAAATATCAGGTACCATAGATATTTGGCGATTGTAGATATTTGCAAACAACTATGAAACATTTTCAAGAACTAGAAAATGCTTGCAATAATATGCTGATTCATGGGGCGATAAGAAATTATTGGTAATGATAGGGTAAACGCGAAGGAATATTCTTGTAAAACTATGCATATTTAGATTACCTAAAGCAACGAGATTATCTCAAAATACCTGGGACACCGACAATTTGGAAACTGCGAACTTATTCGCATGTCTGAATGTTTTTAAGATAGTAATGATAAGTGTAGGGGAGTATTCAAGTTTATACGTACAATAAACTTTCTACCTATTCCTTTAGCAATTAGGCACTCAGAATTTGCAATTGAGCACAATTTCAAGCAAATTATAATTAAGCTATAATCTGTTATGTTGTGCCAGAACCAGGTTCATTGACATGTTTTTGAAGCTGCCAATTAAGGAAAACTTCGCACGGCATAGTTTCCGGTTCACAGAACCGGGAATACATAGGGCAAGTTCTCAGATTACAATGAACAAAATATAACGAAATTTACATCATCACAACTTCATTGACAAGCTATGGTCCTAAGAAAATACAAGATTGAGTCATATGGATATACAATGGTCTATGTTTTTAGTTCAGCAGCTTTTTGGGCGAACTTATCTTATTCGTACTTATCGCACTAAATTACACGACTGATTATCTTCTTCCTTGCTAACTTCGTAATTTTGCTTTAAATATGTCAAACAAAATAAGGTATCTGCAAAAAATATCCTAGGTTACTTTGATTGTATGTTCTATCCTGGAAATAAGTATATAATTGAGCAAAGGGGTCCACGGATGTACTCACGACAACGTATATTTCGCAACGCAACTCATTCCGGAGATTTGTGAGAAATCGTGGAAAAAAATGATTCCCAACAGATGTGTTATACTATAGTATAACACATCTGTTTTAACACACTGTTTTAAAGCATGTAGCAATATATTGCTACATGCTTTAAAACAGTATTTGACAAAATCCGTACACAAATGTAGGGTGGTTTAAAGGGGAACCGTAGATGATGGTGATATCAGTCAGATTTTTTAATTTTACGCGGTTTGTGGAGCGGGGTAGTTGAGGTACAACTGTATGAATAAGATTTTGTGTTTATATACATATCAGTGTCTCACATCCCCTAGCCGCGCAAAATCCAAATATCTGACTGAGATCACTATCAACGATTTCCTTGTAAATCACCTATATGTGTGTAAGAATTTTGCTGAATAGTATCGAAATTATGACCTCGTAAGTAACCTCGTTAGATTGGTTACTCGGATACTTAGGCCCGGTTGTATAAGAAAGATTTAGTAGTTAGGTGGCTGGGTGGCCAGCTGGGGAACAATTTTTGTCAAGTCAATATTAAGAATGTTATGTGTTTGTTCATTTCAAAACGTTGGCTATATATACATCCATCAAAACTAAGTTAGGCTAGCTCATACCTACACATGTATGTACATAATACAAAACAGTTGCAGAATGATTTACAACTAGGAAAAAATCTACGACAATATAAATTAGTAGACCATCAGACTATACAACGAATTCGTAGTTTTTATTTTGAATACATAAGTACCCTAAACAAAGCTGCTGACAAATACTTCTGAATTATTTTATGTTAATTTATGTCTAATTAATTCAGCAGACATAGTGATACCGTTTGGTTTATGCAGAAATTTTGCATTACCAATGGTGTCCCTTTGTCAATGAAATTTGACCCGAATTTTATTTTGAGGAATCCACATGCTCTCAATTCTTTCAGTAAAGGACCTCGTTTACCAACTCGATGTCCAACAATTTTTTCCTCTATATGGTTTAGTACGGTGTTTGATGAAGCATTAACTTTAGAGGCCAAAGTTATGATAAGAATGTTGTTAATTACAGTAGAAAGGGCCATGATGGGATATATTGCGAATCCAGGGAAAGCAATTTCCCCATGCATTCTAATGCAGACAAATAGCGCGGATATTTGAATGGTTGGAAAGCAGGTTATTATCACAGGAACCAGTCGCTCCGCTACGAAAGCGTTGAACGATTTTTCCAATATTTGAATGTATCTGTACAGTTTGATGCAGGACTTGATGTCATGTGAAGTTTGGATTTTGGATATTTCCCTAAAAATATAAAGAAGTATGTAATTTGGACATTTCGCTTCAAAATATTTATGAACATAAAAATTATATCATAACTTGAATAAAATATTCCAACAAGCCAAAGTTACGGAGCCTAAGCACTTCATAATTAATTGATTGAAATTTAATTAATTATGAAATTGAATTAACGGAGTTGAAAAATTCTTTGATTCACTTTCACGTATGATACTGATACATAATCACTGATAGGGTTAGGAATTATTTTAGACGTAAATACCTGGTCAGAAGTTCAAAGTAGTGCAGCAAGAAACCAATCCCGGCAAAGAGAGCATATAGGAACCAAGTAGCTCCAGAAACCTTCGCATGATACTCGATCCAAGTTTCAAAGATGTGCACTCCAAGTTGTAGTCCATACCGAATCGTTGAACATTTTTGACGGCCACAGTTTGCAAACATGGATAAAATGAATGGCGGCATGCAAGGAAGAAATCGCAACAAAAGAAAGACCAGTATTGGGTATGAGAATATGGCAATTTCTACAAGGACGACAAACGCCTTGATGGCCTTGGTTGTACTAGAGGTTGCCAGATTTGTTAGATCTGAAAATAAATAATGCCGTGTAAATAATTATGTGTAACTGTGCCCAGGTAGATTGGGTGTTATGCCGAAGCGCGAAATTAAAATTATTAAAAAATATGCTAACATACTCATACATACATGTAATCCTAGACTTAATTAATACAACGTGCCGCCAGACTTCACAAAAAGTTTTAACATTTAAATTTGTTATAATTGTTAGAGTAAAGTATATACATTGTAAATTTCGAGTTTCCGTCGAAGTCTTTACTAGAATAAACTTCGCTTACTTTTTATAATCCTTGCATCGAAATCCAGAAAGGCATTTATTATTTGAATTGGTGCGATGTCTATGGAGTAATTCCAGCTTGGAATAGCTGCAGCTAGAGAGCAAATCATAATCGAAAGGCCCTGCAAGCGTTCAGCTTTTGTCAACGGTCCGAAGCAAATGTTCAGGAAGAGTGCCGTACAATGCACAGCTGTCAGGATACATTGTAGTTTGAAGAAACGAATTACTTTGATGGATTTTGATTTTGCAAATCGTTCCGATTTCTCCTCATATTCAAAAGGGATGCATTTAAACAAATCGCAAATTCTGAGGTGATAAATCAACAGGGGGAGAAATTCCTTTTGATACATTTTTCCTCCTAATTGGCTGCAGAACTTGTAAGAGCAGTGGGCGATGGAAGTATTTATGAAATCCGTTAGATAAATGGAACCAGATAATCACCGGACAAGATAGATAGTCACCGGAAACAGCGTAGACATTCATGGTTAATAATGTTCTGCAAAGTTAAATATTATCCAATGAGGTGAATTATTTACATGTGCACCTTTCGAGGGAACCCCTCGAGGTGTGTTTTAACTGGTAGGGCTACCAATAATGTAAAAATGAGTTTTATATTAGTCCATTTAGATTTATTAAGTTTAGATAAAACTTTCATATATAACAAAATTGAGACAAAGACATTTGCATATATTATTTTAAGATTGAAAAACTTCTTTAAAAACTATATTGCGAGTATATTTAACCTCATCGAGAAGCAAGTTTCCTTGTTGCGGATGTTTGTGCAGGAACAGTTTTATATTGTTTGGGTTTTTACTCCTAGACAATGCGACGTATAACTGTCCATGGGAGAATACTGGTGTTTTGAGGTTTATTCCGACGTAATCATAGGATTGTCCCTGGGACTTATTAATTGTTATTGCAAAAGCAGGGATTACGGGGAACTGTCTTCGTTTTAAAATGAACGGAAGAGTTGTGTCGGAAGGGGCTAAGTCTATTCTTGGAATGAATACCGTATCTCCTTTATTGCATTCTGACATTATCTCCGCGACGATGAAATTACGATGTAGATCTTTGACAATCAATCTCGTACCATTGCAGAGTCCTTTTTTGGGGTTCATATTTCTAAGCAGCATGATGATTACACCCTTCTTCAGAACTAACGCATGTGGTGCCATTCCTGATGGAGTCTGCTTGTTGAGAAATTCGACCGGGAAATTCAGCGCATCGCTTGGGTCTTCAGAAACTATGGAGTCGGCGCTGTAGTATATTGTTGGGTCGCCAGGCATAGAGTCGATGATTTTTCGATTGATTTCTAAAGTTTGCTCGTTAGTGGGAGAAAGTATGACCCGATTCTTCCACCGGTAAATCATGAATGTTGGCCCCGAAAACCGCAGTTACAATATCGTCTGATTCAGTCATATCTTGGGGGATAGAAATAAGGTCTGGACATGGTAACTCCTCCGGAGCAACCACATCTCCCGTCCCAATTTTCAGCAGCCACTCGTTATGTTGATCATGTCCGTCAGATCGCATGTTCACATTCAGTATCAACGGCGTAAATTTAGACCAAAGGGAACTCGCCTTGATGCAACTGTCGACAATTTGTCCGCGGGATGCTCTTGGTACAACGGGAAGCGTTTGACGAAAGTCACCTCCCATAACACATACTTTGCCTCCAAAGGGTTGTTCTTTACCAACAATGTCACGAAGCAATTTGTCGATGCACCTCAATCCGTGCTTCGATAGCATTGTAATTTCGTCAATAAGTATTAGTGAGGCCTCCCGTAATTGAGTTGCTTCCTTTGAGCTTATTCGCATGGAGGAAACAGAGGTATCGAGAAGAGGAATTGGAAGTTTAAAGCCACTGTGCACTGTTCGTCCACCCTATAGAAGTGTGCCTGCAATTCCAGTAGTTGCAAATGGGAGGACTACCTGTGATCGGCCACGTATGTATGCCATTAACGAATTGTACAAAAATGTTTTTCCTGAGCCTCCAGGGCCGTCCAGGTAGAAAATCCTTTCCGTATCATCTTCATGATCGACAGCATGGATTATCTTATTGAAGGCTTGACGTTGGTTAGGGTTGAGCAATCCGATAAGATTTTCTGCAGCTTGAGCTTCTTGAACTGGATCGTATTGCTCATCGGCTGGTGCAATTCCTGTCGGGTTTGGAAGTCCAATGGCTGAGCATGATAGCCCATGTTGTCTTAAAATTGCGTCTATATCATGTCGTGCCAAATTGTTGGCTATCTCTGCATTATGGTTCCGCATATAGTCGAGTGACATTTCTTCTGAAAATTTGTTCCATAAGGTGAGTGGGCTAGCTGGCTGACAAAATGCACAGATGTAGGAAAAGGTTTCTCTTAATTGCTTCGCCATTTGATAAATACTGGATTCAGTCAAGCAACGATCGCATTCCTCGTCCGATTCCAGTAAACCGCGCGCAGACGCTGCTTCTTTAAATGTAGTGTAAGTTACACAGTTGAAAGTTCGAATGGATTCAAAACTCACAGCTCCTCTGACGTGAAGTAAAAGAAGCCTTAGAAAATACCTTTCCTCATCTTTCAATGCAACAGTATACATCCTGGGAACAATAGAATTTCCACCTCTTTGACGTTTCTGCCACTTACTATCCTTATAGGTATAGTGATATGGAATCTCAGTATACAAAAGTTGCTGGGCTTCTTCATCCACTCGATTCAGTTCAAACCATGATTCCAATTTGGTCCGTTTAGTTCTGGCAGCTGCAACTGCGTCCTCTTCACGGCCTTCTTCGAACACCAAGCGTTGTTGATTTGGAAGATGAACTGGTAGCTGCTGTACAGAATGAGATCTGCCGTGCATGTTGAACTCAAGAAGTCTCCACATTGCCTTCGGTGAGCTGAGGTATCTGGCATCAATGTAGTTTGTAATTTCATTGTGTTGGAGCTGTCGATCACCTTCAGAAGTTATTCCAATATTGGCGCAGTCGAATCCTTTGTATATGTACTTGTAAATATATTTTACAGCCTTGAGTGAGGTACAAATTTCTACATTGATGTGGGCATTGTATTTCAAAAGTAAATATGGACTGTATGGTACCACGTGTCGATTATCAAACAACGCTCCTCTTGATTCAAACTGTAACCCAGGTCGACGACGATATATTGGGTATCCATTGACGTTCGTAGCTGTTGCGTTATTGAAGTCTTTGGGGAAGTTCTTCTTACATTTACCATCCTCCATGCATGAAGCATGACTTTGCGTGATGCCGCATGGTCCATGAAGCATACATCTCACTACAATGGCATGCAATCTTGGATTTTCGACTGGATCAGGAATTTCAGCGCGTACATGTTGATCAATCCTGTCAGCAGTTTGAAACTTGTCATCTGCTTGCAACGTGACCAAAATGTGTGCGTGAGGTAGCCCGCGTTTCTGAAATTCTATTGTGTATACATGGGGAATTGACTTCCCAAATATACCATGGTGTGTGACATCATCAAGTAAACTTTTTAATTTCAACTTGAACACTCTTGCAACTAAATCTGGGCGATCAGAAGGCTGGTCCCATGTATTTAGGTTTTCTGTTATTTCAGTCCAACTGGGATTAGCCGTGAAGGTGATGAAGAGATCCGGTGCTCCCCATTTGGAGAAGATGGACATTGCGTCTTTGCATCTTTCACGCATATTCCTAGCGGAGCCTTCAAAACTGGATGGTAAAATTACTGGAACACCTGCGGCGACATTTGCGTTTCTGGCCAGATTTTCCACATGGTCCGCTAATCCTTGATACAATTCTGCTCGAAGCTGTTTCTGTTTTGTTCGAGCAAAATTAAGATCATTAGCTTCCACCTGTAGGTATGAATCGACCAACCATTGTTGGGTTAACTTGCCAGCGCTCATTAGTGGGTTAAAATTTGCCCGGATTGCAGTAAGGGCCGATTTGTACTGCAGCACCTTGGTGCGCACTCGATTCCTTTCCACCCCATCATATGTATCACACTCCCAATTCGGTTGCCATCCGGGTTCTCCATATGGGAAAAGTATAGCATACGACATCGGATCCAGATTGGGGCTAAGAATATTTATGTTAATGAATTTTTGGTTAGGATTAACTGGATTCCTTGGGTAAACATGAATGTCACGTTCAAATGGTGGTTCAGCGTCATTGTTGACAAATATCATGGCTACTTCATTTGATGTTGGTTGATTATAACGTCGCTGATCCGACCGTCGATCTCGTTTAAATGCCATATTGACCACTGGAATTTCCTCGCCTCTCGCCCTAGCTTGTCGAACCTCTTTGGCTTGCATTTCTCGCATCATCTCGTAGGATTGTGCAATTCTGTTATGCTGACGAAAAAACTGGTCAATGGAATATAAAATGGTGGGCTTGCAGTGGTTATTTGCAGGGTGGTTCTGACGATAGGCAGTGGCTTCGCTACTGTCAAAGACGTAAAGTTGAGCATATTCAGGGTTAGCACCATTAACTGGTTCTGTGTGTGACGTCCTGTGATATGTCGTGCCGTGAGATTTAAAAACGTATGGGCCCCGGCCAGGAAGGTCGACAATTTTCGCTCCCATCGAAGCGAAAGACACGGCGCTGTTATAGGATCGTACATACTCTCGGAAGTTTGTGAAATCTGGATGACTTTTATCAGATAGCAGTCGACGTAGAAATTCCGGATAAGCTTGCTCTCGTCCACTTACGTCCATAATTTTAGGCAATTTGACTTTCCCTTTTCGACAACAGGACGTAAACTTCCCATCAGAGGGCTTCTCTGCTGGAAAATTTCTAGAACTACAGTATACGCAAATGCTATCCATTTTCCCGCAATAATCTAATTCAATAGCATTTTCATTAAACGTAGCGGTTACAGCTTCATTTCTCACACGTTGACTTTTAAGTTCTCTGCTTTCTTCATAGGATAGGCGATGAGCTTCTGCGTCTACATCTCGACGTTGTTGGGACTCTTCAGGTAACTCCATTTCTCGACTAATCCTATGAGCCACCGCGTCCGCTTCTCTACGTTGTTGGGATTTCTCAGGTAACTCCATTCCTCGACTAATCCTATGAGCTTCCGCGTCCGCTTCTCTTCGTTGTTGGGATTGTTCGATGGATTGCATTTGTCGACTTGTCCTATGAGCCGCGGCGTCGGTCTGCTGTCGAAGATGTAATTCCTCAGGTTGCTGCATTTCACGTCTTTTGCGTTTGGGATCGGCCTCTTCCACTCGTATTCTGTCCATTGTTTCTTGACTTTGACGTGCCCACCATCTTGCCTTTCGTTCTTTAGCCAATCGACGTTTTCTTGACGCCGGATCTTCGTTATTGTCGTCCATGATGGTTTCCAATCAAGTTTTGGCTTTCTGCCGATTAAATGTCCTAAAAACATTGAGAAATCTTAAAACTCGACGACTTATTGCCTATGGCAATGCAATGGAATTACTTTGGCAACCTATCTTTAGCTACCACAGAATAGGAAATCGAACTTACAGTTATGTGATGCCAGATAATTTTCCGCACGACTTGAATTGGCAAAGCAGACCTTTTGGCAAGACAATCCTGATCACCCACCTGATTATATTTATTAAAAGTTATCAAAAACGCTTCAGCAAAAAATTGTTACCTCGGTTCAAATCAAGAAAACTAAAAACAAAAGTCTCCGCTTACCTATTATAAGCTGCGATGGGCTTTTAATTGACCTTAAACGATCCAAAAATTTATATAACTATCTTAACGCTGAATATAATTCTGGCAATGTTTACAGGTCGACGTTGATCCACGAACTAACACAAATCAAACGACTCATTTGTTCTCGTGGTCATTCCTTCTATCTTGCCCATGGCAATGGCAAGCAGTATGGCAAGCAGTTTGGCAAGCACTTTCGCTAAGCCTAACCCTGCCACAGACCTTGCCTATGGCAGTGCCATGGCAATGGCAAGCAGTTTGGCAAGAGTATGGCAAGCACTTTGGCTTAGCCTAACCCTGCCCCAGACCTTGCCTATGGCAGTGCCATGGCAATGGCAAGCACTTTGGCAAGCAGTTTGGCAAGCACTTTGGCTTAGCCTAACCCTGCCCCAGACCTTGCATATGGCAGGTATGTCCTCACTGCTATCCTTCAATGCTAACGTTTTCTAATACATTGAAGGGATGCGTTCCGGACAGACAGACAGACAGAGAATGGACTAATCTTATATAGATTACGTATTACATAATTATTTATCATGTATCCACGTATAGACATATGGTAAATAATGATGTAATACGTATTCCATAATTATTTAGGTAATATTATGTTACATATGTTATGTATGTTATGTAATTATTTACTTTCCATCAACAATATTTCTGTATATTTATAAATATCAGTGTTCATGCACAGATATGTATCTCATTCCTATAATTATGACTTTTAGAATTCACATCAGAAATAGATTGCATGTTGTTACAAATTTCGAGTTTAAAAGAAATCTGTCGAAAAATATGTATGTCCCTTGTGAATTTCATTAATATTCTAACAGAATTAACATGAGGATAAATTTAGCTGGGAAAACCGGCCAACTACCACAAGTTACTTCGATGCAGTTTTATTTCTGTACTGTAAGGTGAACCTCTCCAAAATGTCTAACCTTCATATCATATACTTGTACAAAAAGATTTTTTGTTTCTATTTTAAATTTCCGGAACACTTTGATGAATCTACCGGCACCTTGGCCCCTATCCCAAGAGCGGAATTATTCTACTCATTCTACCTTACTGAAGTCATTGTTTTCACTTTTGGCGTAGTTCTTGCCGCCTTTGAATTGTTGCACGCTGTAAAGATGGCAAAGACTTTGGCAATCGTTATTCTTATCATTGCCATGATTGGATGCGGGTTCGATGTCTCGTTGGCACTGGTGAAGGCGCGATGGTGTCAATACTGTGTCGCTTTCTTTAACTCGCTAGTAAACGAATACAATGACATACAAATAGGTGAGCTTGGGTTGAGACAGTAACCAAAATTGCTTTGAAGTTTTATCATAATTGTACGGATATGTTATTCATGCGATCGTCGATAACTCTGCTAGAGTATTGTTATCCTTAGTAAAGCTAATCCGATATATTTCCAACATTTAGTAATCAAAACTAAGTAAGTAAATGAACTGATGATTGTCAAATATGTACACCCGGTGTCCAAAAGTATCCGTTATTATAAGTTCGCCTCCTTCATCAACCCAACATCTGTACAGTTGTTCACCAAATCACAACAAATTTTGTCTTTCGTATTTTAACCACTCCATATGGCCATACTTATACAGTGCGGAGCAATTGCTTAGAAAATAATGGTTTTATCGTTCTAATTTTGTTATTACCGATCCGACTTCGGCCAAACTTGGTGAGAATGGTCCCTCCCCTACCCTTCGCAAGTGAGTAAAGTGTCGGCTTCGAAAAATAATTATTGAACACTGTATTCAAAGAAACCCGAAAAGCATGTGGAGCAATTGCTTAGAAAATTTTGACATTTTAAATTGTTTCTCCTCAATCTTGGATGGTTGACAGTACTTGTTATAATTGTATGGTAGAATAAAGTCCTCTGAAAGAGAAAAATATATACTTCAAAAATATTTTGCATTATACATGATTTTATTGGGGTAAGAGTGAGACAAAACCACTATTATGTTTATATGCTACTACTTTTGAAACCATAAGGTGTAGTAGAATTAAGACGATATGCTTGGAAAGCCCGTCAATTATAGTTTATATTTCACCAATAAGTTGTGAAAATTCGAAAGTTTAAGTGTCGGAAATACAAAATAAGTACATGTCAGTCTAAGTAGGTCATGATTTTGACAGAATTTCTATGGGTAAGATTTTTTTAGCTTTCAAATTTTTTGATTAATTACGACCCTAAGACTCCTAGTAGTTCAAGTAAAATGGTTTGGATAGCCTCCCATAAGCAATTACTGCCTCACACTAAAAAACTTCCCATGCGCGACTTATAACATTGGGGCCTTATCGCAGTAATTAATCTAAATAGTTTTTGTAGTTTATCATAATATTAAACGACAGGAACTTGCCCAAACCAATCTTTCTGAACTACTAGAAGTCTTAAGGTCGTAATTAATCAAAAAAACTTGCAAGTTAAAAAAATTTTACCCATAGAAATTCTGTCCCAATCATGACCTACTTAGACTGACATGGAGTTATTTTGTATTTTTGACACTTAAACTTTCGAATTTTCCCAACATATTACTGAAATATAAACCACAATGGACGGGCTTTTAAATCATATCTTCATAATTCTTCTACATCTTACGGATTCCAAAGTACTAGCATATAAATCTCACCGTGGTTTTGTCTCACTCTTACCCCAATAAAATCATGTATAATGCAAATTATTTTTGAAGTATATATTTTTCTCTTTCAGAGGACTTTATTCTATCATACATATATAACAAGTACTGTCTGCCATCCAAGATTGAGGAGAAATAATTTAAAATGTCAAAATTTTCTAAGCAATTGCTCCACATGCTTTTCTGGTTTCTTTGAATACAGTGTTCAATAATTTTTTTTCGAAGCCGACACTTTACTCACTTGCGAAGGGTAGGGGAGGGACCATTCTCACCAAATTTGGCCGAAGTTGGATCTGTAATAACAGAATTATAACGATAAAACCATTATTTTCTAAGCAATTGCTCCGCACTGTAACAATTCACACACGAGTTGGTGTGCCGTAGTCATTTTATTGGTGAAGCAGCCGCTAAGTCGTAACGTTAACTGCGGCAGTAAAGCTGTTTTCAAAAATTTCGGAATATCGATAAATTAGTCTGCGTGTATTTTGTAGTGTATAAAATTTATACCATACTTAGCGCCTTCCAGATGCACAGTACTCTCAATACGTGTAACATATTTGACATTTTCTATCTTATTTTACAGCGGCCAGAATTGGAAAACAAGCCAAAAGATGGAACCAGTTCATAAGGACGTTTACCATTTTCCTTCTCGGATGCCTTACACTGCCCATACTCTTCGCCATTTTCCAAGCCTATTTAACAATGGAGGGCAGATTTTCCTTTATTCTGTACACCGGGGCAAACTCTACCTGTCGTCTTGACACACATTTGGCTTGCAAATTCATTCTATTCATTTTGACGGGGTCATTGTATTTTTTTATAGCATTCCACGTCAGCGCCAGCGTCGCTGGCGAGGTTGTTAAGGCAGCTGTAGTGCTTAACATGGTAATCGGCGCTATGAGAAATTTGACCATGCTAAATTTCAACTTTCATACGATCCAAATGTATCAGAGAATCTGTATCGTGCTAAAAGTTGTGGAGCCGATGACGACCCTTATTGCCGCCATATTGCTATTGACGGGATTTGGAATCTCTGTTACGTGTAATTTCATGACTATCAGAATGCTGGGGGTGATACCGATGCCGTTCTATCTATATTTTCCTTTCGCGGTAGGTATCAGCAATCATTGGGATTGGAACTCTACTCCCATACAGCACCGTCTGTCATGCGGAGAGCAGTAAATTGCTGAAGATTTGGAAGTTTTGTGCTAGAAGGGAGCGAGGATATGTTGACAAAATGTTAAATGGTTTGAGACCAGTTGGCTTTCAGGTTGGCTTAGGAGGGGTTGCTTACTTTGTGCTGAAACGGTCGACGAAATCAGCATATTACAGTGCCATCTCAGAGGGAACCTTTAATATTCTTATGGCGTAAATTTGGATGGGCTCAAAGTAGCGCGATTACCGATCGCCTTTCCTAGCATGGGAGGATTTCAAACCTTACAGTTAGAGAATGCAATCCAATCGCGTGAAAATACGATCCAGGAATTGAATTCACTACTCACATTGCGCCAAGCATATCAGTACAGCTTTGCCTAGCCCGACCCATGGAAGGATTATTAAATTGCGGTTGACAATTTTTACGTAACCTATGATTTACAATTTATACCCGATAGGGTAAACATTATTACCAGATTTTCTTATTACTGGTATGCAATACTAAAATTAATAAATAGGACAAACATGAGCTTAGAAGTGAAAATGTAAAAATATTAAATCCAGCCACGTTTTTTGTCGTGATAGAAACAGCCACGTTGCCATGCAACTAATTTATCTCTGCTTAGGAACCCCCATAAAGGGGATTTTCCATAAAAGGTTTGACGTCTTAGGAGGAATTTCATTACTCAAATTTAACTAAGTAGTATGCGTTGTCCAAGATATTCGTTAATAACAGCTACGCTGTTATTAACTACTATGGTACATCTAAGATTACCGTATTTTTTTGTGTGCACTCCTTATGCCGCGCAAGCTACGGCTTTAATGGATATACGTTAGCTATTATGACTACTATGTATAATAGTCAGTTTGAACTACTCAGTTTGACACAGATAAGGTAACCTGGTCGTCGGGTGAATCATCTGAGTTATCAGTTGTATAGCATATTTTATCAACTTGGATGGACACGCGAGCTAGGTAATTTAAAATAAACGGTTACGATTTTGATTGTAATTAATTCTATTCAAAACTGTGTGAGACTATCATAGAAAATGTTTAATGTACATATTTCCCTCTGATTGTCACAAAATTAAATGATCCAAAATACAAAAACTATACCTAATTTTTCGAGTGCACTACTAACCGATATTTTTTGGGTGTGGTCACAATTTATTTCCCCGTATGTCTATATAATAATTAAATTTCAAACTCAAGCAGGGGTTGATCGGAACAAAGAAGCTATTACTAATTTTTATTTATTTATCTATATTGATTTAGCATGTAAATCAGGAAATGAAAACCTTGGTCTTTTTAAATTTGTCATTTTCATATTCTTTATTCTCTCTGTGTCAACAGCTCTTTAAGTAACGAATTACAAATATTACAACAAATAAAATAAAATAGTAGAAATAACCTGTATGATAACTTGATTTATCGTACATTAGTAAATAAATTAATGAATAGTCATTTAACATTTAAGATTGCATGAAGTTTACAAAGATATCAATAAAATATCGTCAAAATTGTAGATCAAATATTAATCTGCAAAAAACATGTAGTTGTAGATCAAGCAGCCTTTTCTTAATTTTTATGACGAAAATTTTCTCATTTATCTGCGTCTAAAGAAAAAAATATGAAAAATCCATAATTAAAATAAATTGTAACAGACTAATTCAACTAAGTCTAACCATTGCCGCTCTTATATATCGAAATATTTCATTCCATTCACCACAATATTTGCGACGTGAGAATCTGCCGGAAATTGGGATTGATTTCGAATCCTGGATATTTCCGTAACCAGCGCTTCAGGATCCGAATGAAAAGCACTCGTCGGAATTGGACAACCCGGAAACCCTCGATTTTCTCGCGACACAAATCCATTTTTGGCAGAAATCAAACCTCGATCAAAATACTGCTGCAAAATTCCCCTCGGACGAGGGATGATGCCAAGCCAGGTGGAAAATGCCGCTTCTTCCGCAAAATTTTCGAAATACAGATTTCCCGCAGAGAGAAACAGCGATGGCAGTAATGGGATCCAAGGAGCGATATTCGTTGGGCTATTGGCCGAGGGTACCGTTAATTTAGGGTTATCAATCAAAATTTTCTGATTGGGCAAAGTCCGAGCGTTGAACAGGTGCAGGGTCGCGTTGAATTTCCCCCCTCTGAATTTTGAAATTAATTCGTTCGCTTCATAAGGACTGATGACGACAAGAATTGGCTTTTGGGATGTGTCGTAAAGTTTAACGATCCAATTTACCGGGCGTAGGAAATCCGTTAAAGTGTCCAATTTTGATTCTTTTTCCACCGTTTTAAGAAAATCTTCTGTGCATAAAACTGACCCACCCCAGCATTCCGGTTCAAGCTTATCCTTAACTGTGGTCTCGTTGAAAACATGAGCGATTGAAAATATGTCGTGAGCTGTCCCATACTGAATGACGCCGTTGTTATTTAATGCTCGCAAAAGTCCAAGGGACAATTTGTGAAGGTGTGGATTGGCTGCGCCAGGTAGCTGTCTCTCGGCCTCAAGTTCAACCTCTTTTTCCAATTCTTTTTCTTGTTCTTCATCCAGCAGTTGCGAAAAGTGGACTTTGTTTGGGATGAATGTAATGATTCTGGTCTTGCACACGGATTCAATTTTGGTAAAGCAGGTTTCCACTTGCATAATTTTTTGTGGAGATGTGGATGATGCTCTTCTTAAAGTGTTTTTGGCTGCGGCAAACCATTTTGGATAAATGGTCGAAAAAAGAGCGTGGTTTCTCGCGTGGCAGTATATTTCTGATAAACTGACTATTTCCGGTTCAGAGCATTGTTCCCCAAACTGAAGAAAGTCATCCTCCGTTTGGTTACCTTAAATAAAATAAAATTGAAACCAAATTTATTTCCATGTTCGAAGAACTGTGTGAAAAAATCCGTCAAAATAAAAATATGTACCTGCATTTTCCTTGTCAAAGATAATCCCTGCTCCTCGTTTCTTGCAATAATTTACGGCAGAATTTGTTAAATAAATTAATCCATCCTCTTGAAACGTTTCGCTGTTAGATTTCACCCAGTCGGGAACATGTTGCCCTCCGATGATCCCCAATTCTGAGGTGTTGTTAAAGTTTGCTAAGGCTTTGATTTTATTGTGGACTTCGTTGGATGCCCAAAACGTGACGAAATGGCCACGGCCCAGCATTCTCATCCGCATGCAGGCCTGCACCATTTTATCCCTGGTTAGCCCACTCCCTAGCGTGACGCAGGCTCGAGACCCTTGCGGGAATTTCAAATCTGTCCCTCGAGTGTGTTCGTCGTCCAAATAAATCCCGCAGACTTCCAATCTTTCTCTAAATGGGGACAATTCGAAGGGCGAATTTCGCTTGGACTCTTTATCTTTGACGGTAAGAAAATTCTGCTTGTTGAAAAATACGACGGCTTCGAGAGTGGTGTCAATTTCCAGCCATTTGTCAGCCACCTGTTCATTATCCAGTTGAAGCATCAGCGCCCCACAATCCAGTAAAACTTTGATCTTTTGGTGTTCTAGTTGTTGCAAAATGTCGATGGAAGTGGTGTCTCCAAGAAATGATCGATAATTCATTTCCGGTCTAATCAAAACGGATTCCAGCTCACGATTTGTACTTTCCAATTCGGGTAAATCATTCTGAGAAATTAGGGCGGGGAGCAAATTCTTTGAGTCATTTGTCCCTGAAAATCCAGTTGTTAACAGGCGTTGATTTTCAGACACTAAATCCCACGCTGTGCCCGTCATCTTTCCCTCAAACTGTTTGGATTCTTTGGGATATACGAAATTCGACAGCCAGAAATCAATCACGGCCATGGATTTTCTCAAGATGGGAAATAAATGTTCCGTCCTCTGCTCATGGTCGGATAAATTTATCCCGTTGTAGTCCCTCACGGAGGGATGGATTTTCTTTGGTGGGACATTTTCAATCCATTTTGCATACTCTGAGGCAGGGTTGACGTGAAATTTGTTGGACAGATAATCAAAGCATTCTTGGATTTGGGAATCATTCAGCCCGGAATAGTAGTAACTGAATTGTGTCAGAATTATGGCCATGTCCGGATGTCCAAATTCCGTCCTTTCACTCGCAACATCTTTTGCTTTGAATGGGACCGCCAGTTTACGATGACCTCGCGAATTGACGCCATAATTTACCCTCCACCGTTTTGATAGTGGGGACTCGAGAACTCCAAATCTTAAATAGCCAGCCAGGATTAGAAGAATTTCCAGTTTTTCGGCAGAATCTTTAATGCAGGTGAAATTCAGGATGGTTTCAATTTCCGTGACGGTGATTGAATTGTCCGTTATGAATTTATGTATAAGTTCTTTCTCATGCGGTTTTAGTTCCACGAATCCGACAACTTTTCCATCAATAAAGTCATTTGCAAGGTTATTAATCAATTCCGGATAAACGTCGGACCTCAATAGCCTGCAGTAGGGGAAAATTGAAGCGTCCTTTTCATCTTCGGAAAAATACTCGACGGCAGAATCGCCATGATTGCTTCTCAATGACCGCATTGCTGTAGGTAAACGCTTCAGAAGCTTTTGAATGATTTCCCATCTAAGATTACCCCCACCGATGGGGACTTGTGATCCGACGGTGTAAATTAATTGGTATTTAACGCTGAGAATTTCGTCCGATTCGTCCAGAATATCTCGGCTGTTCATGTCCAGCCATGACTGTAGGGAAATAAGTGGTGCGGCCAGTCCAACATTTCCCTTTCGAGCAAATTCATATCCCTTGAGTTGAAAGGAGAGGCGAAATTCTGGCAAGGTTACGACGATCCCTCTATTCCGGAGACATTCTTGATAAGCCGTCCCAATGTTGGAGACGAGGGTGGAGTTGAAATCAATATCTCGACGACATGAGAGAATATGCACGCGTCGATCGAGGAGTCCACCCAACGTGTGTTTTAAGGAGTTCACGTTCGTTTCGAAAATTGACTTGATGACGGTCACACGACAGAGTTGGGTTCCATTTGCGATCGAGGCGGCCAACATGGGGACGATGAGGGAGGTTTTTCCTTCCCCCATGTTCGACTGGAGGACGCTGTTAGATTTCGAGGGAGGTGCCAGCATGGCTTGGGCGACCTATGATAAATAGATGAACTAAAATTATTACATAATTCATCTATAGATTCAGAATTTTTATATAGTTGCATATTACTTAAAAAAATATTTAAAAATCACTACTTTTAAGCACCTTAACTTGCATCGGTCGAATTGTCATGTTCAATTCTAGCTCTAGCAAAAGCCATTCCGGATTTTGGGACGGTGACCAACTTTTCAACCCCACGGTTTCTTCCTCTCTGAGCAACGCGAGTTCCATTGATGACCCCGCTCTTAGGTAACGAATGCATCGAGCCATTTTCTGTTCCAAAGTCCAATAAACGCATCCTGCCCCGACAAACGTTTGGACCTTGGACAAGTTCCAGTTCCCTACCCAGGTTCCATTCCCACTGTTCCAAACAAGCGTTGGGAGAAGTATGGAAGGGACAAGGCGTGGAAAAAGACCAGATAAGATGAGAGAATGGGCACCAAATGTGGATCCATTTAGTAAAGTTATGACCTTTTCCCACACTTGCTTGGAACGGATTTGCATATTTTTCAGACATTCTACGAATTCTTCAGATTTGCTGAAATGACGTGCTTGATAATCCACGCCGGTATCTCCGGCTCGTGGTATTTGATGGAAAACTTTCTCCTCCAATGAGCTATCAATTTGAAATAAATTCTCAGATTGGATAATCGTCCTCAGATCAAAGTTTGGTCGAGGGTGGGGCAGGTCACAAGTATTGGAGAGCTTGCCAAGTTCTGAGAATAATGGTTCATTCTTCAGCTCATTTTCTTCCACGACGGATGCCAAAATGGTTTCAAAGTTTTCCAGAAATTCGTCCAGTTTTGAATTTTCATACCAATTTTTAATAAGATTGTTAATTTCTCCCTCGGCTGGGTGCATGTTTATTCCGGAAATTCCATAGCTGTTTATGCTGATTTGACAAACTTGGCGTGGAATCCATTTTCTTTCCACTTCATTGCAAACGTTAGAAACTTCGCTTCTTAAGTTGGAATTGTACGTTGATCTGGCTTCATTTTTTTCGCGCTCAGTGGAATATCCTGCTTCATTGAATGCCTTAGAATTATTGTCCAAAATTTTTTTCACGTCTGGAATGTTGAAAGTTGACGCTGGATTTGGGTAGATGGCATATTCTGGAGGTCGAAGATGTTGAAATCTCTCACGGTGGACAGCTATCATGTGAAGAATTCTAAGTTGGTTAACATCGACACCCACAAATGCCAAAGATGTCAAAAGCACGGTCCACCAATGGCGAAAATAATCATTTTCCCCAACGGATAAAGCCAATCGATAGAAATCCAGCCAGCAATTCCGCAAGGGATACAAATCCGACAAACTTGTCACACAGTCTTGACGCTTGATATCTCTTAAACGTCTGGTTTTGCCTGTTAAATGTGCGCATGAAATCAAGAGGTGTCGTACGATTCTAACTCCATTATGAATTCCGTAAAACGATTTCCATTTCCCGCACATGTAGCTGAGCTCGCGAACATTTTTATTGATCGAATATCTCGCGTCGAGGAGGCTTTGCCGTTCATATTCCACAGGTTCTGGTCGCAAATAAATTAATGACTCAATATTGAGGAGATAATTATCCAGATTGTTTTGTCGCCAGTAGTGTTTATAGGGTAGGAGAAGGTTTGTCTTTTTATCCTCAATTTTGGCAGAATGCTCCATTTGTGAAAAAAGTGGGGCCAACTTTACCGAATCTTCCATTAATTTATCGACCAAGACAGTGTATCCTTCATGAGCGCAGGTCGAGGGCAAGCCGGCAGGCCAAGTAATTCGCTGCTGACATTGTAAATGTTCCGGGTAAAATTTACGTTTTGGAGAAAACCCAGAAATTATTTGAAATGTGGCCAGACATTCGGCATCGTACGGTTGGCAAGACCAGACTCGTGCCGAACGAAGGATTTGAAATGCCATTTCAGTTCCAGTTAGTCCAGTGAAGAGATCTGGAAGCGGGGAGGCGGTGGCGCCATGATGGGCGGCAAGGTAAGACCAGGCTGCTTGATTTCTTGGAGCTTCCAGCAATTTTTTATGATATTCTAAATCGTACGGGAAGAATCGAGGGTTTCTTAATGAGGTACGATTCAAATGTACTCTTTGATGTCCAGCGGCGTCATTTTCAATAATTTCAAAGCTGCAGTGAGGAACAATTACTTTTCTGGCTGGTCGAATATCACAATTTTCTTCCTCTGTTAATACTAATTTATTTTCCAGGCCGACCAAAGTTCCAATATTTTGGTTCGGGTCGATCAACATGTTTGGATATTCTCGAGAGAAAAGACGATGGATTTTCGGATTCAGGGAAAACTTCAATCCCAATCGTGTCAAGTCTACTTCAATTAATTTTGATTTGGTCAACCAAGCATGAATATGCCCCAATGGTTCAATTTTATACACGTCGGTGCATAATTTGGTGAAAACGTTGTGATGAATTGAAATCAATTGTCGGGAAGTTTCAATTTCGTTGATGCAATTTGTCCCAAGATTCCATGTGTATTTGATTTCTTGAAATGTCGGCAGGTCAAATTGAATTGGACGAAATACTATCAAGTTTTTCTCCTCGTTCCACCAATGACTAAAGTTCTGACTGAATGAGAACGGAAAATCCTTTTGAAGTCCAGAATTTGGCAGAAGCTCCAATCTTTCGTGATTTCCAACGCTTTCAAACAGCTCTTGAATTATTGTCGTCCCATCTTCTTGGTAGAATTGATAAGTGCGGTTTTCATATTTTGACGTGGTTGAAAATATCGTGACTCCATTCCTCAAATTAGGTTGCACGGTGAACTCCGCATTTTGAAAGACCCGCTGATAGTTTGGGCTGCGGACAATATCTTCCGGTAATCTGCTAACTGGTAACCCATCGACGAGAAATCGGCCAAAAATGCTGTCCATGTAAATGTGGTGTTCCGATCCGTCGGAGGCTAATACGGGGAAACTTTCATAAATCTGTGGGGCACTACATTTACTCCAGCGGGATTCAAATGATCTAGAAACTTTCCAGGCGTGACGGGCAAACTGGTTGAATGCATTATCCTTTTGCAATTTGTGCATGGCAGGCTCAACCGTGACGCCGGTGCAGATTGCGAGACGTAGCAAACTTCTTTGTAGCGATTCCAAGAACTTTAATTCTCCCGGGATAATTCCAAAACATTTCGTTGTACAGGGTGGAAATGGCGTGCATCCAACTTTCGACATCCAAGGAGGTGGACATGACCAGATTGACGTGCTCTGGACTAACGTTGAAAGTTAATGTTGCGGCCAACGCGGCCAGGATCATTTTTAGCTTTAAGGAATTTTTCAATTCCTCCGAAGCAGCGTAAGCCTTCCCGATTAAATTTTGTAGCGTGGAAATCCAAGAGACCGCAATTTTTCGGCATTTTCTAAGCAAGTCGGCTGCTTCCGCTCGAACATTTCCAACTTCCAGAATTCTTCCGGTGATGACTACAAGGCAGCACATTGTATACGGGTTGCTCCACTTCTTTTCGTTAGAATCCGCCTTGTTGTCCACTATGCGTAGTAATTCTGAGGCGAAAATTGGATCCAAGAGGTCGTAATGTGATTCCCTTACTAGTTCAGGAGTTGAGGACGATTTCCCAGATTGAAATTGAGCTTGGCAGAGGAGCATAAAAACTTCTTCTGCCTTCCAAGACAAGTTATCATCTGTTAAGGCGAGTGCAATATTTCTGTACTGAATTTTATTTCCGGACCGAAGCGAGCCGAATTTTAAGAATTCTGGGATCGACAAATCCCCCGGACATTGACATTGTCTGGCTAAGACGCTATTTTGACTATGATCCGTCCAATTGATGGTCCTCTGCATCCCGGCATAGTTTGAATTCGGATTCGAAATTTGGAAGGTGCACCGTCCCGCAAAATCTGACTTGACATCTTTAAGAATTGAAGTCCCGTGATAAATGTGATTAAATCCGTTGTTTAAGATGAAATTAATCTCGTCCTCCTCCACAGATTTGTTCCTGTTCAAGTGGTTAGCTGCCGAGGCTGTCGAAGTACTGCCAAGTTTCAAGTTGGTGGTAATTTTATTGGCGTAACTGAGGACAAAAGTAGAGTTGACCCAGTTCGAATCAATCTTACTGTTTGGTTCCAGGGAGGGTCGGCTTAAAATATCCTCCTTAAAAAAGTACACCATATCTCGTAAAATTGCAATTTCTTGGGGAATTTTCAATTCGAAAAGGACCGACAGATACAATTTCTGTCTCAATTAGTTCCAATATTTGTGTCCGCAACTCCATCATGGGTTCTGATTCTTGGGCAAATTTCACTCCAAAAGATTTCTCACTTGGTTCAGATTCTGAAATTAGTGAAGGTTCTTGACCAGCTTTGTTTCTAGGTAAGAAATATTTTTCCAACTCGAACGCCATCTCCATGTCGCAAAGCCTTGGAAGAATGAGTCGATCCAAGAAGTCCAAATCAACTCCAGAATTATGATTTTGATACTTTTTGTGACAATTTTATCCAAAATCTGAACGCATTTTAGCACCGTCAAAACTAATCTTCCATTCCCGATTGGGTCATTCTGATAGTGGAGAATTGCTTTTTGCGAGTATGAGTAAATCAGTGTATTGAAAGACGAGCAATACTCGCTCTTTTCAAAATTATCTGCGTAAAGGCGAACCCAGTTTTCTATTTCAAAAAGTTCCAAATCTGCCTCATGATTGGTCGATGTATCATTAACGGGTGGGAATTTATGTGCAGAAAGTCTGTCCGGACAATTTGGAAGGGGAGGAATGGAGTCAGTAATTTGTAAAGAATTCTGACTCCTCTTTAATTTTCTCGCTTCAATTTCATTTTCAACATCGGGACAGGTTTGTCGTAGCATTTCTTCTTTCTCAAACATTGAAATGGGAATTTCTTCCCGATTCCGGTTTACTGATGGGATGGTGTTAGAAATTGAGATCCACTTGAACTTCAAATCATTTTCTACCCGAGACAATAAATTCGTGACTTGTTCTTTAATCCATAAAACTGAAATTTGAATCCGGTTGTCATCTGCTGTTCTGCCGATGATTTCCAGTTTTGTCAATCTTCTCGCAATTTTCCGCATCATTTGAACTTTCAGATCGCTCATATTTGTCGTTTTATCTGCGTCTTGAAATATTTCCAGTGCTCTCCTCATCGCGGAAAGTAAGGTCCACTTGTAAATAAATGACCCCACCTCCACCCCACATTCTCTGATGAGACAAATTTGTAGTGTAACCTTGACCGTTGCCCAGAGTCCGCTCCGTCTGAATGGGAGAGCTGCACGCTCCCCGAGGATGACGTCGTCTCGAATTTTCTTCTTAATTTGTGGAAATTTTGAGTAGGATTTTGAATCCTCGTTACAAAGGAGGTGAGTCACCCAATCCGTGGCAAACATGGGATCCGCCACGTCACGCGTTTCAACTCTTTCTTGTCCAGCTTTTCTTGCTTTGGGTTGAGCCATATCGAACTTGGTTTTTATCAGGAGGTCAAGAACTATTGAAAATTCGGGGGATTTCAACAGCTCAGATTTTGGAATTTGGGTCGATTGTTCTGGAAAACTGATGACTAGATCGGATTGAGTTGACATGACGGAATTGCAATTAGATGAGGCTTGGAAGGTTGAGAGGATCACGTCGTCTGGAGAAATTTCTTTTTCTGATGATATGAAAACCCCAGCATTTTGTTCTTTCAAGTAAATTGGGATTAAGTCGCCGACTTGCAAATTTGGAATATGTTTCGAAATTCTGGCCGATAATGGGGGGTCATTGATATTGACATTTGTCTCGAATTGTGTCCAGGTGCGAAAAGATTTTGCCGTTTTTGGAATAAGGATGAAATTTTGGTTAGAGTTCCAATCCTTGATGGCGTCCTGGAGAAGGTGGATTAGGTTTTGATTCAGTGAATTGCTCGAGGTTTCATGATCGGGAAGTTTGTAGGGGAGGAAGATGTGAATTATTTCGTCCTCCCCGACGGTTGGCGGGGATTCCTCTTGTAGCAACTCCATCTAGAATGAAGAATATTATACTTTCAAATGTACACTGCAAATAATCTGGTAAAGAATTTCCTACAAATTCGTAACGTATCTGACTCTGCAGTTTGGTAAGAACGCGCCCTACTTATGGTAAAGCTTTGGTAGTAATCTTCACCAAATTCGGTTTAAATTTTTACCAAATTGTAGTACAAAATTACCAATATGTATAACGTCATTACCAAAGCCGTAACGTATATGACTCTACAAATGGTGTTTGTACGAACAAAGTGTTTTTTAGTAGCGAGTTAATTAAACAGTATTAAATTAATACTGACCTCAGAGATCTGGAGCGCAGGCGCCACGTCCTAACCAGAATTTTTTTAAATCCACGCCAGGAAACAGGTCCTGTAATTTATTCGAGAAAAATTTATTTATTACAAAAACCTCGCCCATATTTATTGGTTTGTCATCTGGGCTTAACACATAATGCATTAGGCGGACAAATACTATAAAAATGCGGAAATTTAATTGTATCATTCGACCTCCCCCTTGACTCCTCACAGACATTAAATAAATTGCATACCTTACGAGAATGATTTTACAACACTAATCTGTATCTCCGACAAGTATTTTTGTCTCTCCTAAAACAACAAGTGCACTGATCATCCTTAAAAATATTTTACAGAAAACTAAAATAATTTAAGTACCAAATTAAGAACTAACTGAAGGAGTGGACAAAAACTTACCAAAATAATTTCGGTTTTAAAAACTGTACTAGTCCTTCTATTTATCCAGTTGAGAGACTGAAAACGAAATCCATCCGTCCTCAAAGACTCGTTCCTCTACAATAATGATCAAGTGAGATGTTATCAGCCAATTGTATGAACTCGAGAGGTTGGGAATTGGAAACGTTTTCGAGTTAAATGATAAGCCGTTAAGTGCATTCCCCCTGTGACGCATTTAGCTTACTCCGCACCGACAAAGGGCAAGGTTCAATTCTAGCAATGCTGGACTAGCATAATGTTATTCCTATCCAGCCAAATTTACATACATATCTGTTGTTGCTGATTACGGATGTAATCATTTGATTTGCATAACTTTGCACAAAGTAGTAATAATTTGATGCGGCATCAGTTACCTTTTTACACTCACCTCTCCTATATATGTACGTGAGCTGGGATTATTGTCATTAAATTTAATCTGCAAATTAACAGATAAGAACTCAAGTATTTTCAGGAGCTTACAACAAAAAGTTTCGATCTAGTACATATGTATGAAAAGTGTGTAGCGATTTTCCAACTTAAATCAATACATTCGGTATTATTGTTTGATAGGTTTTCCATATTTTGAACTCCTTTCTTAGGGATCACACGCCTGTAGAAAAATATGTTATAAAATATGCCAACAATTTCAATTCTAATTCATTCAGTAGTTCTAATACCACTCTAATGAACATTAGTTCTCCATGAATCTGATATTTGATAGTTTAAAAATTCACTAAGAATCATTACTGTGACCTACATAAATGGTTGAATAGTTAGTAATAATAATTAATCGCATAATGAAACACAAGTTTAAGTGTTTTCCATGAATTTTGCATCGACGTCTTGACTGCTGATGACAATGTTGGAATTACTGAATAATTGAATTGTGTCTTAAGACATACATAATTGTCTCATACACCTTTATACTTCTATTTATACTTTTTTTAGTATGTAACCTTATAATTTGTGTAACTTGTCAAACTTAATAAAATACGTGAAGGACCTAATAAAACATAAGCTCTTATCCTCATTAATGCAATTATTGTGTATGGTATTACAGATACATCTCTTTAACCATATACGCTACGCTAGTTGACCACAGTTATCATGAGGTCAAAGATATCAGTCCAAGTGAAATTTTACAAATAGCACTCCCATCTCATGTGACCAATCAAAAAATTTTGGTGCAAAAGCTGTCAAATTTTTTGCACATTGCCACAACTTACCAGCTTTGCAAATTTCACTGTCATAATTGTGTGTCAAATTTAGTAACATTTTTCAAATTTACAAAATTTGTAACATTTTGTCAAATCAAATTAAGTGTTAATTCTGGCAAAATTTTAAGAAAAATCAATTACATAAATTTTGCAACTCTTGCATCACTAACTCCCTGACAGATTTATCGCGATGTGTATTTCCAATTAAGGACGGAGTTAAGAACAAAGTACTTATATATATAGGTGAAAGCATAAAACTTTAATTACAGTTAAAGATTACTATAAATATGGATGGTGTTGATGCGTTGCTTAAATTATTTCAGATGAATAGACCTGCATTAATGTTCTACAGTGTGGCGTACGTTCATATCTTAAATAGTAGTTACTAAGCTAAAAAGCTAAAGCTAAAAGCAAAAAAATTAAATTTCAAACATAATAAATAAGTATAAAACTCTCGAATTTTGGATATTATTCTAGTCAAAATTAATTATTTATCGTATGTCTGCGTTTTATTATTATTATGTAAGAGTAAATATTTAGTAAAAATATCTACTCTTACATAAGATTAAGAACTCAACAATATTTCGATATATTTATAAATATGCACAGTGTCAATGCATAGAGATTCGCATGATTTCTATAAGGATGAGTTAATAAATTTGAGACTGATCCGAGACTTATAGACTTATGTTGTATTATTTCAATAAGTTTCGATATTCATATAAATCGTTCAAATCTGTGCATGTCCCTTCTCTGTTACTCCCAAACTGTCAGTCTAACTAATATTGTAATCAAATCAGCGTGAGGATATATTTAGCTGGGTAACCTGACCAGCCATCCCTAGATTCTTCGAGGCTGTTTTATTGCCAGCTTGTCTGGAAAACCGTTCCAAAAATGTCTAACCTTCTCATAATATACTTACACGAAAAGATTTTTTGTTTCTATTTCAAATTCCCGGAATACTTTGATCAATCTAGTAAAACCTGGCATCGTACCCCCCAAAAAAAATTATTCTACTCTTTCTATCTTACAGAAGTTATTGTTTTCGTTATCGGTGTATTTATTGCCGCAGTTGAATTGTTGCATGCCGTAAAGATGGCAAACATTTTAGCAACAGTTATTCTTATCATTGCCATTAATGGATGCGGATTCGATGTCTCTTGGGGATTGGCGATGTTTCGATGGTCTCAAGATTTTGTCGCATTCACAAATGCACTGATCAACGAGGTTCATCATCTGCCAGGAGGTAAGTTTAAGATGAGACAAAAAACAGAATTTCTCTACATTTGGGGATCTAAATAATTTACACATTGCCCAAAAACATTTAGAAACTATGTTAAATTAAACAACAATTAATCTGATACGTGAAATACAAGAACTATTTAGTACTATAGTCAAAAATCAATTGAATGAGTACCTTTCCATATCGAATCTTATTGTGATAAATAATTAATATGTATTTCCAAGTCCAATTGTAAATACCATAATATTCATTATTACCAATAGCAGACCCCCACATCTATTGGTAGACATTACATAAATAGCTCTACAAACTAACAATGTAGACCATAATTTCTTAATAAGGATTGCTTATTGTGAATGTCAAAAACCTATTTTTACAAACCTGAACTAACGGTATGTATGCATGCTACCATGATAAATAGTTTTTTAGCAGAAAGATGAATATAGAAATACACGTTTGTAAATCAAGTTTTACTCAGGCCTTCAAATTTTGACTTTACTTTACCCTATCAAGTACTTTTAACTTGTTCAGTATACTTAACATTATCTATCTTATGTACTTTGCAGTGGCCGGAATTCAGAAACGAACCAAAAAATGGAACCAGTTCATAATAACGTTCGCCACGTTTCTCATCGGATGCTCCATTCTGCCCATACCCTTCGCCATCTTCCAAGCCTATTTAACAGTCCAGGGCAGATTTTCCTTTATTCTATACTCCATGTCAAATTCGATCTGTCCACTGGAGACGTATTTGACCTGCAAACTATTAACCTTTGTGTTGACAGCGTCACTGTATTTTTTTATTGCATTCCACGTCAGCGCCAGCATCTCTGCCGCGGTTGTTAATGCAGCTTTACTACTGAACATGGTAATCGGCTGTATAAATAATTTGACCACGAAAAATTTCAATTGTCGTACGATCCATATGTATCAGAAAATCTATATCGTGTTAAAATTTTTGGAGCCGATGGCAACCCTGATTTCGACGATATTGCTATTGATGGGATTTGGAACTTCTGTTACTTGCAATTTCATGAGTATCAGAATGCTAGGTGTTGTGCCGATGCCGTTCTATTTGTATATCCCTGTGGCGGCTGTGTCTGCAATCATTGGTATTGGAACTTTGCTCCCATACAGTACCGTCTGTCATGCGAAGAGCAGTAAATTGTTGGCGGGTTGGAAGTATTGTGGGGGAAGGGAGCGAGGATATGTTGACAAAATGGTAAATGGTTTGAGACCTATTGGGTTTCAAGTTGGGTTCGGAGGGAGTACATATTTTGTGCTGAAGCGGTCGACAAAATCTAAATATTACAGTGCCATACTGGATGGAACGTTTAATATTTTGCTGGCGTAAATCAGAATTATGTACGTGTCTACAACTATCTACCTTGAGCAGATAGAGATAAAAAAAATAAACTCCCAAAACCCACCAAAAAATCCCAACAGGCGCCTAAAGGGGCATGATTTATTTATGTATCAAGCATAGAAATGCCCGGGCTTATTCGACATGATTGAAATGATCGTATTTCTGAGACATTGTACTTCATGGAGAAAATCTGTCGTAGAGAAAATCTTTTGAGGAGCCTAATTTCCAAGGCTGGGAGTTAATGAAATAATGCCCAAGTCAAAAATTTGCGACCTACGTAAAATTATCAGAATTTACATATCTGTGCATGCTTGCGTTATGTTAGATAATTACACGTAATAAGTATTATGGGTTAACTCTTGATTCGATTTCCCAGAAAATGATAACGATCCGTTATTAACGAAAACAAGGTTTTTCTGTGAAATTCATATCAGAGGTGTTCACTTACATACATACAGTGTGTCCACTTAAAAACGAGTCCACTTTTGGGGGGGGTAATAAAAGTGATTTTATTTGTACTAAAATTTTTTTTAACATAAATCCTTTTGGTATACAATACCTTAGTATTTAGTGATGCCTCCACACGCAATTTGCATATCTCTAATTCGTTTAGGGAAACTCTGCGTCAGATTTTCCAAAACGGTAACCGAAATTTCCTTCCATTTTTTTTGGAAGCGTCGAATTAAAGAAGAACGGGTTCGTGGAATTGGCTGCTCATACGCGCTATTCTTGAGATAGGGCCACAGATTCTCGATTGGGTTCAAGTCCGGGCTATTTCCTGGCCAAGTCCCCTTCCCCCAGACTGTTGAAATGTGCT